TTGGCCCCCGAAGATGCGCCTCGGGCAGGAGGTTCGTTCCCCGCAGCCCCTTCTGCCCTGGCGTCGCGCGCGTCGGGCAGGCGGGCCGTGCGGCGCTCGGGCCGCCCTTCTCCGTCCGAGGGAAAGGTCCTGACAAGTAGCCGGAGGTCACCTGGAGGGACGGGGCAAGCGTGTCTTGCTCTGCTAAACTAACGTTGCCCTGAGGTAGGCGTTAGCCGTCCGCCAGGGCTTCCTCCTGCGGCGTGAAGGATGCCCTTCGGTGCTGCAGGACTGCCGTGCTCGGGAAGGGCTCTCCCGTAACACCGCGGGAAACACTTGAGTTCTCCTTCAGCTCCTTTGTACGCTGTTCAGAGAATTTTGACAGCACGCTGATGGATGCGCTCACGTTGTTTCGTGCTTTCCCACCAGTCTGATTCTCCGTTTTGAATTACAAGCTGCAGGACTGTCTCTTCCCTCTGTGCAGGCACAACCTCTGGCACAGGGGGGTTCAGGTCTTTGCCTAGGGCTTGTAGATGCTGCAGTAATGCAAATAAATAACTACCGATGGAGCCCCGACTTGGTGCCTCCCGACACCTATAGCGTACAGAGAGTGCTGATTTGCCGTTTGACTCTATCAGGCTGTTTAAGGCTTGGAAGCATGCCTTGCTATAGAGGAAATGTCCATACTGTGAAAGCACTGATGGCCAATCATTTCCCCAAACGACTTCCCCTCTGGGTGGTAAAGTGCATTTTTCTGTTTTATTTTCATTCCATCACATTCTCTATCTCAAGAGAAAGTTTTTTTTCCCCTCATCTACAGTTTAATCCCCATATTGTTTGGTTTAAGAGAAGGTAACTTCATACACTGTGGAAACATTCTCTACTCTCCATTAGTGATTAATACCAATAAAGCTAAAGACAAAATTTGGAGAATAAATGACAGATACCAACCAGTGAGACTTCCTAAAAGAGGTTTTAACAGTAAATGATCCTTGAAATGTATAAAAATAAATTGCTTCATTAAAAACTATTTTACAAAATCACTCCTTCCTAGCAGCATATTTTCTCCAGAACAGCTCCCCCGTGTAACTGCACCTGGGCAGTAAAATTTGACGGAGTGCTGTTTGCACAGGGCCACAGTCAGATGCCCCGATTCCCCTGGTGTCCCCGTGCCTCGTCAAGGGAGAGCGTTAGGGCTTCTAGGGCGTATTTGGGAGGGGTAAGTGAAGGCTGAGCATGGAAGCTCCTAGAGCAAATTAATAGGAAGCACTGAGCAGGAGGACAAACACGGAGTATGGCCCGCCTGAACACGAGTGCTGAAGCACGTGCGGAAATACTAATCCCAGCTCCAGCACCCTAGCAAGCCTGGGAGAACGGGTGGACTCACATCTGCGCCGTGCGGTGAGTGCCCGACTGAGCTTTGTTCCAACTTTGACTGTTTCTGGGCCCTGCGCCTCGGTGTTTGGGTGTGACTTTCTAAAAGGGGCAGCTGTGCTTTGGGCAGGAGACGGCACCCAGGAAGGGCTGCGGTTGTCCCTCCTCAGATCAGTACACCAGGAGTCCACGAAGCGGGGCAGATGCCCCTGCAGAAGGATCTCGGCTATACCTGGAACCCCTTCATACTTAGTGGTGATGTCCCAGTAGAAATATTTTTAGAAATAAATTACTGTATGTGTTGGAAATAGACGGGGGGGGAGGGAAGAGGTAATTCTAAGCATTTCATCTTAATACTTAAAATTAGAGATGCTGTTGAAGTTTACTTTTTGCCCAGAGGAGAAAGGACCCTTTTTTCCGGGACACAAGCAGCATGTTCAAACATGAGTGATGGAGCTTTTCTTTAGAGGCGCAGCGCTTGCGAGTCGCACACGTGGCTGCGACCGCAGCTATTCTGCCCAAATTACCCAGCCCGACCCCAAGAACGCATCATAACGAGGTTAGGGTGCAACAGGCCGTCCGTGTCAGCAGCGTCCACCGCAAAAGCTGGTTGAAACGTCCTCCTCCTCCAAACATCGTGCGCCCTATTAGAGCTTCCTCGACTAATTCGTTGCTGTCCTGCCATACAAGAACATGCCTCTGCAGAAATCTGCAGAAAATTAGAGTAAAGACTTCATATAAATCTGCCTCATTTTAGCTGGGCTTGTAACTGCCGTGGAGGCGAAACCACCCACGTGAACATAAAGATGAGAGATGCCTGTCCTAATGAAGATGAATTGCAAATAAAAGCCTGTTGCGGGAACGCTCTTTTTCAAGGTGCCTGTTGTTGTTTAGTTTGAACAGGCGCAATGCTTTTGAGCTGGCAGCGTTTATCAAATTAACTTCTGATTATTTTTGCTTGCATTTTTGGAGCATTTAATGAGTAAGAAAATGTGCTTCAGGAGAGCCTGTTTGCATTGATGCATTTCTGTGCTTTTGCAGTCGGTTTAGGAAGAAGGTCAGTTATTGGGGGACGTGGAATGAGAGTCGTGGAAAAGTGACTGAGACTCATTTAAAGCGGAGGGCGCTGGCGGAGATGCTGGGTGCAGCAGGTCTCTTGGGAGCGTTCCCGCGTGACAGCCCCACAGCGGGGATATGCGGTGCCCATTTGGCAGCTGGTCCATCCGTGAGCTGTGTCTCTTGGGAAGTCCTGAACTGCGGTCAGGCTGCAGGTAGCACAGTCCTACGGGGCAATTCAGCTAAGGTTTTGCCACCAACTTTGGTAAGAGCAAGGGCCAGATGTGGGAAGTTCACATGTGCTTAAGGGCGTGTGGAAAGTGTTTCAGAGCTGTTTGTATATGCATTTTCACGTTCTTTTAATCATTAAAAAAGCATGTTTTACAAACGCTGCAGGCAGCCTGCGCTCTTGCACGGCGTCCTTGCAGTTCCCGTGTTGCAAGCAGTTTGGGAGCCTCTTGGGGACGGGCCGAGCTAGACGTGCGCTCGGCCAAGAGGAGGGCTGGCGGGGCAAGAAACCCGCAGAAAGGGCAAACCGTCACGCCGTCAGTCAGCCCACATGGCCAGACATGACAGACTGGTCAACCTGGCATTTTAATGAGCTGTGTCCTGTCTTGTTTCGTCTTTTTTTTTTTTTTATCTCGTGTAGTTATTTGGGTGTAACTGCCAGCGTGCCTCCAGGTCTGGCTCCACAAGCGTGTTACACCACCGTAGAGCCGTATAACCTGTCCTGAGCGGGAACAGTCATTTGAGGTTAAAAATCTGTGTTAATGTGGGAAGAACGGTGCTGACCGCCTCTGGCAGGTTTGAAGGACAGAGCGAGAGGAGATGACGCGCTGCATGCTCTATTACTCTTTTTTTCCCCCTAACCACTCACTGCTGACACTATTGGAAATCAATTCTTGGTCTAACCTAGTGAAGCGATTCTTTTATAGCCTCGAATATTTAAAACTTCTTGTTATTCTCCTCTGAAACGTGTAGGCTATTACTGGTCAAGGGGAGCCATATGCATCCTTGAAAGAACAGAATTTGATTATCTAGGAGAGCAAAAGAAAGGGTGGGAAAATCACGTTAAGACACACTTGGGAAATAAATGACTTTAATGATGGTATCTACAGAAACAGGAATTTGTAGATCCTGTGTTTGCTCTAAGATATCCCACCCAAAAAGAAAATCAAAGTGAATGGAAAAAAACTGATTTTCCCCTAACAGGACACTACAACGTCTGTGCGGATAGGTCTTATGATGGAAGAAATGATCTTCAACCTGGCAGATACACATCTGTTCTTTAATGACCTGGAGGTATGTAGCTGCTTGTTTTATTTAACATCTCTCTTTTTAATTATTTGCATCTGGTCTACAAACTTGTTTTTCTGGCCAAGAAACTTTCATTAGTGACCCCAAAGAAGTGGGCCTTAGCTGGCTTATTGGAAGCATACTTTACTCTGTCTCTTTGACATCTTAGTTCTGTTAAGGAATTTTTTTCCAAATGCAGAATAACAATGATGGCTTTTGGCAGTTTTACTAAATCTAATAATGAGGATATTGCTGCTGCTTCTCCTGAAATTTGCTATTTAATAATTTTATTAAGCTAAATTAGCATAAATCCTAGGGGGCAGGTAGCAATTAACTATGAGCCAGTGCAGAGGTTTTAAAACTGGTCCCTGTTCTGGAGGGAGCTCTGTTCCGCACACAGACGCTGAGCGAGGGGTCTGCTCACGCGCAGGCTGAAACGAGGTGAGTTTCTGCATAAAAGGCAGAGAGAGCAAAAAGTCCTTCCTGTCTGGAGAGGGTAGGTCTGCCAATGCCATCTACAAAGCCAAAACCCCTTTGAATATGTGTTAAAACCCAAGCAAAGTCGTGCAAGCAAAGGCGAGCAGCAGCTGTACGGGCCTGATGAGGAGCCCTTTGCCAGTAGAAATGGTCGGAAGCATGTAGCACCTCAACGGCCTTTTTTTTCCCCCCCTCAGCTTTTTTCAAAAAAGGGTTTGGTGAGGAAGGTACAGAAAGTGCAGAGTGAAAATCTCTCTCCAACAAAAAAAGAGAGCTGCTGTTTGGGTGTCCAGGGCGTTGTATAAACAGTGGTAGTATTTAACGTGAACCAGCACTTTTCAAGCAAAACTCCATGTCCTGCCCAAAGCCACCCTCCAGAAACCCTCTGCTCGTTTAGACTTTTAGCCTGTTTGTAAACAGGCTAAAGTCTGTTGGATTTAAGGATTGTAAGTAAAGGATTTAAGTGCACAAATCATTTTAAAACAAGCTTTTTCCTGGCTTCACTTATCACTCTAAAACGTGAAATAAAGCAGCAAATTGTCTGGCCTCAGTCAAATTCTGCACGTTTGTCAGTCAGCAACAGCTTTGGCTGCTAGAAGCAGAGTCCTTAGGTCAGTTTTGTCTCTCAAGGCCACTCAAGTTCTTCTTTAACTGCTGGAGCAGAGCAAAGTTTTTAATTATAAGAAGTTGGCTTGAGGTTTTTTTTTTTTTTTTTCCTTCGATGATTTCTAGACATCAAAGCAGCAAAAGCTAAAAAAAAAAAAAAAATCACTGCAAAATGGGATTTTTTCATCCAGGAGGCCGAGGTAGCTGTCCTCCAGTGAGGACCTCAATTTTAGCATTGCTTCTCTGAGTAGCATTCAGAAAAATGCAAAATACCTGGGCCTCATGTGCAAGGCAGGAGGAGAGCCAGGTGCTGCAAGGCACACCTAGTCGCCAAAATGCTAAGGGAGAGCTTCCCTAAGCAGATGGGGCTACAAAGATGCTAAATAACATTTCTGTTGCTAGTGCTACTTTGTTGCTGCATGAGAAACAGAAGCGATTTTGCTGATTTCCTGGAGTGTCTTATCAGCTTACCTTCTTTTATTAAATAATTGAGGAAACACAAAATGGGCAGCTCAATAGGCAGGCCAGCAGAGCCTTGCCAGTGGGAGTAAAGTGGCAGCACAGGCACCTCGAGGTGAGAACAGCACCCTGCTGGACCTGGGTGGTTCAAAACGATGAAAAACGTTTGAGAACATGATGGTGCTCCGGCTGACCAGAGCAGAAACCAGCCGAGAGCGAGCCTCAGGAGGCAGCTTTTTCTTAACAGCAGCACTGTTTTTACATGATGATCCTTAACAAGTATGCGTTGCCCAGCTAGCTGGAAAGAGAAGAGCATTTTCTCGTCAAAAAATTTCAGTTTTCCCTTTTTGCCTGTGCTTGGTAGGTTTTTCAAACCAAAACCAAATGAAGGTGTTTTGTTTTCAGCTAAGTGTTTTTGATGAAAAAATGAGGGATGAGGGAGAATTGAGAAGTGAACGTCCTCCGCAAACTTTTGCTTCCCAAAAAGGGCCATTTCTGTTTGGAAGACTTTGCAGCAACCACAACAGCAAAACAGCCCTCCATCTCTGTTCATTAGCCATCTTACTCCTTCGTTCTGGATGATAAATGAAAGTCTTTCAAGCTGGAGCATTCACCGAGTGATATTTAAGGATCGTACGTCACCGAGTGTTAGGCTTGAGGAAGATGCAATGAATGATATTTAAAAAAAAAAAGAAGAAGAAGAAGAAATGGATGAAAAAGCCAGCGCAGAAGTTGACGCAGTTCTAGACCCGCAGAGATTACCATACACGTTAGCACCATCATGTGGTGTAACTCTGACCTGTACAGGCGCAATGAGCTGCGGCCGCGCAGGGCTGAAACCCTGTCTGGCCGTATCCTGAGTTCGGCAAGTGCGGGAAGGGCCGAGGGAAAGAAGCAGCAATGAGAAAGCGGGAGGATAGTTGCCCTGTTCAAGACCAGAGCGCGAGGACTCTTGCTGGGAAATATTAAACACAGCATAGCGTTTCTCTGGCACAAATCCATAGCGCCGGGACAGGACAGCCCTCCCTACCCCGCCGAGAGCGCCGCTGGCCCTGGACCCAACAGGCGGAGGCTGGGGAAGAGGGGTGATGGGGGGAATATCACCCATCCTAGCCATAGAGTCACCGCGGACAAGGAAATCAGTTTTTATCTTGTTCTAGCAATAGGGGAATGGTTTAACTGTGGTGGCTGCAGTTTTCAGTGCTGTGCAAAGCAGGAGGCGTTGCCCGAGGTTAAAGTCCCATTGAAGTGTTCCCCAAAAGTGCCTGATGAGGATGAAACATTCGTGCATTGATGCAGCAAGATTTGCACAGCCCTGTCAGCACTTGTGTGATGATCTGAAGCCCAGGGAGGATGTGGTCTCCTCAGAAAGCGCGGGCTCCGAAGCCTGAGCGAGAAGCCCACACTGCAGTACTTCCTTTTTGTATCAAAGCCGCATGGTTCTTGCCTAATGCAGAAATAGAGCTGTCAGGCTGTGGAGCAATGCACCAAACTAAATGTTTTGCCAGGACTGGAGAGAGCAGTAGAGTTTTCCTCTATGGCAATGCACAGGCAACCTGTCTACAAAAATGCTAGGCAGGCTTTCGTTTTGTTGCTCTCTCGCTGAAAAACTAACAAAACCAAGAGGATGGGTTATCGCAATGGATGCAGACTGTCAGCTCGGCAGGTGACAGGCAAATCCTCAGCAGGCCTTTCCAGAGCTTGCCTCGAGAGCTGAAGGAAACGGGCACGGGAGCCAGGCCAGTGTTACTGTCCCTCTCGGCTCCTTCCTCCCCTGTGCCATGAACTTGCAGGGTCTCCTTGCAGCTTCACCGAGCTCGGCTGTGCTTGCTGCGCGCACAGTGCCATCCTGCTACCTGGGACCTCTCGGTAGTCAGGGCTTCACATGCTTTTAGGCTTTTACTGGAGAGGAGTCAGGCACCTGTTTCCTCCACTTCTGGATCATTTCCCTGCTGTGCTCCCCAGTGGGACTCCTGAACATATGCAGTAAGGGAAATCAGCAGCCATAGTCAGAAAACCTACTTCAAACCATCCTCTCTTGGTGCTGCAGCCCAGCACGGAGGCACGTTTCTTGTGCGACTGAGCCCAAACCTCAGGCTAGCACCTGGGGAGGAGGCGGCTGATCCCCGTCCTCGGGGCTGCTGGTGAGCGAGGAGCCCCAGACCCGGAGACCTTCCAGCCGCTTTTGGTCTTTTTTGATACAGAAAGGGCTTCTCTGCGGGTGAGTTAACTCTTGAGTTGTGCAACTGAGGAGCTGGACTGCTTTTCCAGCAGATTTGGGGCAGGATTTTTTTTTTCGTGTGCTTGTTGAAGCACGGCTTAGTGGTGTGGTGCACAGTAAAGCAGAAAAACGGCACCAAACCTTGACACGGGCCAGCCATCGTGTTGCACTTCAGGACATGCAGTGACAAAAGCATTGTCCCGCTCTGGAGGTTTTTATCAGCACAACCCAGGCAAGCAAGGGCCTGTGCTTGCTGAACCACACGTTCAAGTCGTACATGTATGTTTTTGCCCCACTAATTCACCCACTCGTGTAGCACTTGCATGCCCGTCTAGCGCGCGATCTGGGCTTGCCTTGCAACAATACAGGCAGATTAAATTCCTACTGCCTTCAAGTATAGGCTGTACAAGGTGTTTGCTACAAAGGGGTCTGAGCACACTGCTGAACGTGAGCAAATACTCACTGGAAATGCAGGTATTCGCACGCTCGGCTCCCCGTTGGGGGGGAGGCGCGTGAGTCTGGCTGCCCGCGGAGGCAGCTCGCGTGTCGCCGGCCGGCCTGGCAACGTTGCAGCGCTGCAAGCAGGTCGGGTCCGGGAGCTGGGCGGGTTGGCCAAGGTCGTTCTTACCCCTTTGACTCGGCTGTGTGTGCCACGTATCGCGTAGCTCTGGGATCCTGGGGGATCGTTTTCAAAAGCCAGCAGATGCGGAGACGGGGCCGTGTCCCTTCGGCTGACTTCCAATCGGACAAGCTGGCCCTTCGCTTCGGCAGCCCAGGTGTCCTGCCCCGATTCCCTGCTCGCTGAGATTTCAGGGAAATTCTGCAAGAATGAAAAATTAGTCTCGTAACCAAGTAGTAAAACCTGGTCTGCATTCTTCCTTCAAGCAGCTTCCCTGCGTTTCACCCAGAAACGCGATAGGCTCGGCCGCCGGACTATGAGGTAGCGTCTCACCAAGTGTCACGGTATTTTATTAAGTCAGAAATGTGATAGCTACTGTTGTCACACTTCAGTGTACAGAACAATTCATTCACAAATGAGAAAAGCAGATCCCTCCGCAAATACCTTTCCCCTGACTTAACGCTCTGGACCGCGCAACTGCAGTGGAGCGGGCTGCATCGGTATGATCCCGGCACGGCCGCAACAGCGACTCGGAGGGGGGTGAGGATGAGGAGGGGGAGAGAGATGCCCTCAGAGCTGCTGTGCTGCCACTTGGCTCCAGTCACGCAAATATGCTCTCCAATGATGCACTGATAAAGAGGACCAAGGAGACAGGAACAAGGTAAAATTGGATATCTTTTTGAGAATTATCTAAAATAAGCGCAGCAGCAAATGTCATGTTTATGGACAGAACTAGATCACAGTCATCTGTGACGTTGTGCCTTGGACATCATGCTTGTTTGCTTGTTTGGGAATATATATATATATGTATTTTTTTTTGGAAGGGGTTAATTTAAACTAATTCATAAAACCCCTAACTGTGTAAAGAAGGTAAAACAAACTGTAGTACACAGGTCACTGAAGGCGGTGAAGGCAGTGGACGCGGGTTTGCTGCAGATGTTCCGCTTCAGGAGGCCTGCTAAACCTAGCACGCTTTTATTTTCCTCAGAAATCAACCAAAACAAATGGTAGTGTTCATCAGCCAGAAGGTTTTCTGTTATGTCCTTACCTGCAAGGGTCATGGAGAAGGGAGATTAAGGTGCTGGGGGAAGCTTCCTGGTTTTTCTCTTTCTACTCATAATGTCAAGTCAAGAAACCATAGAAATAACATGTCTCAGGTTTTTGAGGTAAGGCCTCCACCGTTCAAACACTGAAGAATTTTGAATGATAAGATCTCGAGTATAAACTTCATGCAGGCTTAGCTCCAAGGAGATATTCAGTTTAAATCTCCTGTGCATGGGTTTTCTCATTGCAGCCACATGTGATTTCTTAGCTCTGTCTGTGGAGTGGGGCTATGAAAGGTGCCTTCCTTAGTGCTTGGGCACACCAAAGGGTGCTCAGCACCCTTGTAAGTTTTGTGAGAACAGCAGCATGTTAGATGTCTTTGGAAATTTCTGTCAAACAGATCTTCTCCCCTTGAAATTATGTGGGCACGCACCTCCTGTCCAAAGTGCTCTCCTCCCAGGGGGAAGAGGCTGCCAAATCCATGCCTTATCACGCATGCAAATTTTAAAAAACACAATTTTCCTGGCTGAAACACAAGCATCTCTCTCCCTCCTGTCTGTATAGGAAGTAGTTTCACTTACTGTGTTATTCAAGAGCTGCTGTGCCTTAGATAACCACTGATGACGCGCACGGTTTCTATTCATGTTTTGTGTGCAAGCGCTGTGTGATACTCGTTTATAACAATTAACTGGCTAGGCAGACTTGGCAACGTGTAAGGCCTTCTCTTCTCACTATTACCCTTAAAGGCATTTTTTCATTACACGAAACATGTTCTTTCAGATTTTCTTTTCAAAGCATTTACTTCCTGATGGTTTTGGTTTTTTTTTTTTTTTCCCCCATACGCTCTTCAGGACTGTGACCAGATCCACATAGACGACGTGTCATCAGACGATAACGGTCAGGATCTAAGGTAGGGGATCTCCAGCCTGGAAGCGGCAGGTCAGGTAGTCACCAGCTGTTTGAGGAGGCAGGGGGCTCGCCAGCGATGGCAAATAGCATTCTCGGCCGCGCGCCCTCTCCCCTCCCAGGCTCCATGTGCTCTGCTTGTAGTAAGCCCACAGGAGTGCAAAGTCCTCTTTCGCACACTAATCTGCCTGTGCCTACTGTCAAGCCCTGACCATGCTGAGCTTTGAACCATCCTGGGAAATATGTTTAAAATTAGGTTGAGCTCAAGTCTAACCGCACCAGTTTCTGGTGCGATGTGGCCAGCCGGTTGGCACAGGTGTGGCCGGACCGTTTCAAACCATGCGCGAGCCTCAGAGACGTGTCACGTTTATACCCTGCAGCAAGGGGCTCCTGCTGCCTGTGGGAAAGCAGAAAATACACAGTAGTAGCGTGAAGCTAAAATAAAAGCACAGTGTAACGTGAACATCCTAGTGTATTTTCAGGCAAATTTGGCAAAAACAATCATGTGCGCATTCCCAGACCAGACTGAAATGTTTACCGCTGGCCAATCAGGTTTGAATGGGTTTAGTAGTAAGGGTTGGAGACCTCGCCAAGCTGGGTTGCTCTCATTGGTAGAAACTTGTACTAGAGCTGCACCAAATATTATATGTGTGAGCAAGGTCGTCATGTACACAGAAGCTACTTCTGTACAATTACATATTCCTTTCCCAAAAATGTTTCCTGCAACATCCTGGTAGCTGGTGCAGGAATGAGACGTCCAGAGCTCATATAGAGCTTTATGATTTGTGCTGTTGTGGATGGTTGTACAATTGGTATATAAAGTGGTTATATAAATGGGTACAGAAGCAGCACAGAAAACAACATAAGTGTTTTAGGGAAAAGACTTTTCCTTCTGCAGAGGACGGCGCTCGGATCTGAGTGTGACTGAAGTGCCCGTGCTGGTACGGAGAGAGGGCCGGCTCGGAGGAACGCCGGGGAGGGAGGAGGCGGCATTGTTTCCTTGGGAAAAAAGTGGTAGTTCGAGGTGTCTGTGCAACTACCACTTGCCCCTGCTCGTAGGGGTAATTACTCAGGAGTTGCTTTGAAATACCAGCTCAGGTTTTCTTTGAAAAGCTTTACAGTCCCATGTTGCAGGCAGTCAAGGCTCCCTTAGTTCATTTCTTGATCATTTTTCTTGATCTAATGTGTTCAGAGCCTATTTCACAGCGTAGCCAGGCAGTCGGAAAGGTAACATGAGACTTTTCTCCTGCAGCATTTGAGTATTTCTGCAGTTACCGAAGCAGCCCGGGTGAGAGGCAGGTGAGGTGTTTCCGTGACCTGAGGGCAGTCAGGGTTTTGCGTTCAGTAGTGCAGAGAGCCTCAGAACTGCCAGGGACGGCGGAATAATGTCTGTCGTGTTTACGTTAAAAGCATTTTTAAAAATTGTGCTAGTAAGCGTGCTGGGTGTCACTGGTTTCAGAGGTGAGGCTAATGACTGTACGGAACCACGGTCTGGAAACACAGTCTGCACAGTCAGCTGGCAAGCCAGTTGATTTCTTAGCCATGGAAATAAATCATCCAAGGGAAAGAACAATAATAGGCCAGCATATTCCTTTCTAATCGTTTGGTTGTTTTAGTTGCGAACAAAAAATTATGCACTGGAGAGTGCTGGCATTAGTCAAGATGGTGCGTGCCCTTCTGGGGCCACATGGGTGATAGGCAAAATCTGCCTCTACGCCGTTTCTATGTGCGCTTCCTTCAGCGGTCTGCCCGGAGCGAAGACAAGGAGCACCGTTCAGGGGTGGAGGTGTTTACACAGATTTGGGGCTGAACTGACTGAGGAGTCCTCCCTCGCAGTGACTTCTGTAAAATAAACCCGGCGCTCTGTCACGCGCTTGTGAATGAGCATGTGACACTGTAAATGTTAGCAGCAAATGCCAAAGAGGCAACAGAGATGAACTCTGCTTCTGTACAGTGTCGCCTGCGTGCATCTCTGCTGCCGCTTGTCGCCACCCTCCTTTCCCATCGTTGCCGCTCCCTGCTGGCACCGCATCACCTGTGGTTGCCCTGACCTCTTCGCCTTGCCTCCTCCCTCTCCCAGCACGTACAACTTCTCAGCGGACGGCTTTCACAGTTCAACGGCCAGCGCAAACCTGTGCTTGGGCTCCGGCGTTCACGGCGGAGTTGACTGGATGAGGAAATTAGCGTTCCGCTACCGTCGGGTGAAAGAGATGTACAACACCTACAAAAACAACGTAGGGGGTGAGTGTCCACTGCTGGGCACCCAGTGGGCTTTCTGACATGCTACGGAGGAGTGGGAAGAGCAGCTGAAGCAGAATACTTTACGCTGAGCTGAGCGAGTATCTTAGCCGTTGGCCTTAAATAAGCATTCCTCATGGGCTTTGCAGGAGCCAGGCTGAGCTACCTGGTACAGTGGTTGGAGGAGGACTGAAGTCTGAGCGTGAGGCTTTATTTTAGAATTTCTTCAGTAGGAAAGCAACCTCTCCCGGTTTTCCAAAGTGCTTAGTGAATACGCAAACAGTCCAAAACTAAATCCAATGGCTTTTCCGCAGAAGAACTCATGGCTGATCTCTGTTTCTAGGCGTTCTTGTGGCAAAACTGCTCGTTTTTAACTCCCCTAAAGCAATATCACCAGGTAATAGGATGCCCTAGGGTTCCTTGTTTTCAGCTAGTTCTTCACTAGGTTGCTCTGCTTCTGGCTTAAAACATTATTGCCAGGTCTGTGACTAGCTAGAGAAAGAAGCAGAAGTAAGAATGCTGCTGCAGACTTTTTTATTGGAGGAATACTCTGTCCACCTGAGTGGAAAAGGTGCACAGCTTCTGAGCAGCAGCAGTTCCTTTCCGGCTCCAAACGTCCCTCAGCTCAGGCCACGAACCCTCTACACTGCTCGTTAGTCCCCTTGCTCGTTTCACATACAAGCTTAACAGGAATCTCAAGAAAGGTGGTTTAGCATGGCCCCGCAGAGCGCACATAGCCGATACCATGCCCTCGAAGCGGAAGGAAACCGTGCAGGAGAAAGTCGCGGCAGTAGTGTCGGAGGGTGCTGGGGTGGGGGCCTCCTGCAGGGCAGGGCAGAGCCGTGGTCCCCAGCCCAGGAACGGGAGAAGGGCAGTGGGAAAGGCCGGACACCAAACACAGCCCCCCGGGAGAGCAGGAGGCCGTTGGCATAGAGAGCCATGCAACTCCCTTTCTGTGCGCCTACAAAAGATGTTTCCCTGCTTGCAGGTTTAATAGGCGCTCCTAAGAGGGAAACCTGGCTGCAGTTGAGAGCAGAACTTGAAGCGCTGACTGATCTCTGGCTCACACATGCTCTGAAGGCTCTGAATTTGATACATGCCCGGTAAGAACAGCTTAAAGAATTGCCTACGGGCTTGATCCAGGATCTCCTTTGCGTCCCTTCTTTCCCCCGTCTAAACAAATCGAGACACATTTATGGGACTTTGCTGGCCAAACCCATGGGATGCCTGTCTGCACATGTTTGCCAGACTTGTATTATCAAGGGTTGGGGGTGAGCTTGAGATGATGAACAGAGCAAAAGAAAAAGCAGTCCTTTTTCCTGCCTATCTTTGGCTGCATCATTTGTGGCACACCTGTCATTTGAGCAGATTTGCAAGAGACTAGAAAAGGGAGAAAAGGGCCCTTCCATGCCTGAACATGTTAATTCAAAGAACCCAGCATGGACATTACTATATGGTGTTTAAATTCCCACAAAAGAGATCCTGGCATGCATGCAGTAAGGCTGCATCACTGCTGCTTTGTTTCATGGGTGTTTTTTTTTCATTCCACTAATTTATTAAAGAGATATGACCAGTACTCAGGATGTCTGCCTTGAAGTGCAAAAATCCCCAGTGGCTTTGGGAACGTCTTTCCAGTTGCAGGAGAAGTTTGCTTCCTGCCGTATTTCAGCTCAGAGTAGAAGAAAGAAACACAGATTGCCACTTCTTCTAACGTTTTTGTTTTCTAGGTCTAACTGTGTGAATGTGTTGGTCACCACAACTCAGCTTATACCGGCTCTTGCTAAAGTGCTTCTCTATGGACTGGGCACTGTCTTCCCCATTGAAAACATTTACAGTGCAACAAAAACAGGTAAGAGCAAAGTAACTAAGGCCCCGGCCAACAATTGGTGGAAGTTTTGTCCCTGAGTCAGGCACGCCTGTCCAACTGATTGCAACAAGCAACGTATGAGCTTTATTTTTGGCACCGTTTGCTCATCCCTAATTCGCAGCCTGACTGCTCATACTTAAGCTAGTACAAACTGCAAAAAAAATCTAAGTCTTCCCAAATGTCTCCATGGGGAAAAGAGCCTGAAAAATAGCCATCCTTTGGAGCATCTCCAGCGTGCAGCATGGTCTCCTGCACCCAGCTAGGAGGAAGACAGTCTGGGTGAACCCATTACAAAAGCACGCTTGGGATTCTGTTACTAAGGGAGAGAGATCGAGTGTGCTGAATGAGCTTTATGAAAAATCATATGAGTACTAAATATTGGCAGGGTTGGTTACAACTGGAATGAGCAGAAAAGGGCTCGCAAAACTGAATGCCGTGACTGTCACATCACTCTACCAACTGTGGGTCTAAGCAAAGGGCCAGATGTCACATAGCTTATGGAAAACTTCTGGCAGCACTTGGAAGTCCTCAGTTGATAAAGAAAGTGCTAGTAGCTGTCACGAGATGGAGAGACTCCATCTCAGATGGAAATTCAGTTAGCTTTTAATCTCAAAAGAAAATGAGTAATGTAGAGGGAAGTTTAATTAGGTCCCAGCTGCAGTTCTGATAGCTGAGTGCCATCCCCACTTGCTGCGTGTGTCCGGGTAACAAATGTGTCTTCTCTTCTGTTGCTCAGGGAAAGAGAGCTGTTTTGAAAGAAAAATGCAAAGGTTTGGAAGAAAAGCTGTGTACATTGTAATAGGAGATGGTGTTGAAGAGGAACAGGGAGCAAAAAAGGTACAGTTTGTGGATGCCATCCTGGATTCTTCCAAGTATTCATTTCGGTGGCCCTTTATTTAAGCTTTTAATGAAACTCCTTTCCATTGAAACAGTTTAAAATTGGTCTCATTTCTTCAAATACAAGATACTCAACATATTCATGAGAAATTTCCTACTCTAAATCTCCCCACGTTGGCAGCTAGTGCAATTTTTCAGGTAGTCCCTCTACTGCCACATGTTCTAGGACTCATTCTTACTTAATAAAGATGGCTTTGAACACATGAAAAGGAAAACTCCATGTGTGTGATCTCAGACCAGCAAGCAGGGTCAATTTTTGATCTATGCACATTACTCTTATAAATTCCAAATGCCTGGATTTTTTTTGAGTGATTTATTAAAATATTGTATACCTATATATAGATATATATGACTCGGTAAGGTCATAGGGCCTAAAGTTATTAGAGTAAATACCAAAGGGACATTATAATATTGAGTTGCTGCCTTTATTAATGACTTGAAGGCCAATACGGTTAATTTCACAACCAAAATGAAATAAGGAAGGTACACTGAGTGCAAAGTAAAATAGAAAACTCTGAAAGCATTATGGTCAGGAATAGCAAGCCCACAGCTTTGGTAATGTTTCATGCTCACTGAACAGATGTGGCCCACTGACATTGGTAAGCTTAGAAAGAATTAAATGGACTAACCTGTGCATCCCATTGAGTCTTCCAGTCATTAGTATCCACAATCCACTCATTGGGAAGCTAGAACTGGATTTTTAGGGACCAGCTGAAGCTTTTTTGTTTTGGGTAGACTGTAAGAGGAGAGAAGCTGCAACAGCAGAGCTTGGAAGAGATAACAGCAAAATTTGAGACCAAAAGCCTTCTGGTTACAGTAATTTAGTGGGAAAAGAGAGATTTTTAGCGATGCATCAGGGAATACCATCTGCCATACACCAGGGATATCAGTGTATCAAAGAAACCCAAGAGTGGTAGAAAAGAGGAAAGACCAAAGACTTGAAAGAAAGGAGTCAGATGCATCAGCTGTAGGAGTTGAACTGCCAAAGCTTTCAGTTCCTCATCGTTAAAATGGAAATCTGCCTGGAATCCGCATTTACTTGGCTGAACTGAGACAGGAATACAATTTGTTTGTGGAAAGCATCATTTGGATGTCTTTGTGCATCTTGGGTCTTGTGCTCCTGATGCAGCTGTGGAAATGTGACTGAGCTGCCTTTGCTCAGTATGCAATGAGTATTGCACATAAGTTGAGATGCAGGTACTGACTGCATGAACCCCATCTCCAGCAAACTAGTTCATTTTTTAATAGGCACCCAGACTGTTGCAGCTCAGGTGATGTATGATAATTGTATCATAGCAACTCTACGCTGGAAGACCTGACTTGCCATTCTCAATGAGGATCAAGCATTTGCCAAGCAAGGTAGTCCCGTTGGGTGCACAAGCCCAGGGAGAAAGGGATCCCAGCAAGTAAGGTGGTAATTCTGTCCCAGGAATTGTATCCCAAGTCATCTTTAAAGCAGCAGAAACCCTCTCTTTTATATATTCCCTTCCTCTTGCCAATGGAAACAATGATGATAAAATTCCTGTTTGAGAATTAGCCAGTCCGTAGATGGTTCTCTAGTTCATGAAGGGTTAAGGAGTCCTCAGAGAAGAATTCAAAATGCCTGACTGGAAATGAAGTGATAACGGCCTGCTGCTTTTGACAGCCCAGTGCCATACTTCAAAGGTAGTGGGTCAGTGACCATGACTGCATCAAAGGCTGCCAGGCTCTCTGGCAGTATGAAGAAGTGGGAAGGTTCAGCAATCTTCTAGAGGCAGGATTCAAGAGCCCTCTTGCTTCTGTCTCCTGGCCTAAGCAGCTCTCCCATTAATGGAGCACATTCTTTGCTGGGCTGTCGCCTCTTTTGATTGATGACAATCATTAGTCAAGGCTGCTACACACCTGAGCTTTATTTAAAAAAAAAAAGGGGGGGGGGGCAGCAGAGAGCCTTTCACTGTTTTACCGACAGCACTGATACTATCTCCATTTTAGGGGGTCATTTTTCTTCACCTGTCTGATGAGTGGTAAATCTGTAAAAGCTGAACAGGAGTGGCTGGGAGGCCAAGTTTTCTTCTCTTTAAAGAAAGAAAAATAGATAATTTAATGGAAGGGATTTAATAACCACCAGGGGAGGGGGAGGGACAAGGAAATAACTTTTCCCCTCTAAGGTGAAATTGCAGAGCAATGGAGGCCAGTCACTTCAGATGTCTTGTTTGCTTGCTGCCTCTACACACACTGATAAATAGCTTCAAGGAAACATTTGTTTACTCATAGGCAGCATACCAGAGGGACGTTTGAGCAGTATTTAAACATTAGGGGAGTGTAAATAGATGCTCTGTAAAATAAACGTCTGGAACCACTGGAGTTTTTTTACACATGGAAAAGGATCTTCCTTCATCAGAATCATCTATCCGGATTGTCTAAAGCTGGCAGTATGTTTACAGTTGAATTATTTAGAGATTAAAAAAAGTAAAAAAAGAGGGAGAAATTATTCCCACACTGGAAAGCAAGTATGATCTGCTGATTAAGGCTTTCTCTACCTCTATAACTGCATACCTATCAGTGACGATACAGATACCAGTTTTTTTGGGAGGAGACTCAGAAAAATCAAAATCTCAAACGTTGTTACAAATTCTACATGCAGATCAGAGCTGTGCCTTTAGAGTAGTGTTTATACTGTACTAGATTACTGTTTCTATCTCACATCCCCTGTGTAATTGAGCCTCAGTCATTTCATAGCGTTCACAAAAAGCTGCTCCTTCTGCCTCTTTCAGATGCAAGTCTTGTTTTCCGAACGTATATACACAATTTTCATGAGCTGAATCAAGATACTATAAAGATGTGGGTCACACATCATAGCTGAACTTTCTAGATTTAATCTAGACGCAGAGAGACTGCAAGAGGAACTGACTGATTAGAAATTGGGCGTTTGCATATGTGACTCCAGATTTAACCTAGCAAATCTGGTTTGAAAAAAACTGTAGGCTGGGGAAGTACATGAAAGTCTCTTAAAAGTGGAAATTAGGAGACCCTTTTTTTTTTTTTGAAGATTAGGTTATCATATAAGCCTGTTGCACCTTCCTTTGGGGCAGTGGTATTACACTAAATGAACAATTGAGCTGAGCAATGATACCAGTTTCTACATTTCCAGAAAATGCAGTATGTGCTACTGTTCCATTTAACTTGGAAAGGGAATTACTTCTTAGAAAGCATTTTGACTTTGCATGATTCTATATGCTTTTGTTTACATTCAATTTCATTTTTATTTTATGATTCAGACACACACAGCGTTTACTTGTCTGTGAAGCACTAGCAACAGCTTTCAGTAGTAATAAACAGGACAACGTTGGAGTATGTGTTACAGGAAAGGATTATGTCACTTTTTGGAGAGTCTTTCTTTGAAGATTCTTGTATAGTTTGTTACTGTAGGCAAAAACATCACTAAGTGGCATGGACATTGTCTCTAGGAGTACTGTAATTCTAAAAACATTTCTAATCAGGAAAAAAAATAGGAGGGTAAAGTTTAGTATAGTACATTCAGAAACTCTGCACACATCTCTGAAGTAGGACACTCCCAAACTATGGAGGATCTGTTTTCTTCTCTCCAGAGGAGAAATGTGCCAGAAATTGAAACTTCCCACTCCCTTCCTTCCTCTTTAAAATGAGCCTCCTTGCCTGTGACAGCGTGACAACCTGGTGGCCCAAGTCCAAAGCTCTGTTCCTGAGGGTGCAAACGAGGAAAATTATTTTGCTCTCAGTGTAAAATAGAAACAACAACAACAACAACAAAAAAAAAACCCTCTTTTGGTTTCACTCTAGCACAACATGCCATTCTGGAGAATCTCTTGTCATGCTGACCTGGAAGCTCTTCGGCACGCCTTGGAACTTGAATATTTGTAGCAGACCCAAACATCTTAGCACTGTGAGGGCTTCACTCAAACTATTACATCGGTTCCACCTATTCCTCAGCATTTTCTTATTAAAAAAAAAAAAAATCCCACAGCAACTGCAGTTTTTCTTTTTTTGAAGGAGAACCATTTCAGTGGAAGCCTTTAAGAACTTGCAGCCAAAGAACATTGTATCAAGACCTTCTTCCTTTGAACAGAGGAAAAATCTTCAGCTAACCCACTGGGGATCCTGCAGTTCTTTGGTTAAGCTGGATGCATAGAGCTGTAACTGCCTTTTTTTTTTTTTTTTGTTGCCATCAACGATAAACACAAAAGACTAGAAATGTTGGGTCTACTTGTCAGTTTTCTTGCTTCTGAAGGGGGAAGTGGACATAGTAAGGAATCTCTCAGCATGCCCTGTGCACAATACATCGCATGGGACCTTCTGAAAATAAGAGTGAAACTGTTGTTTTTTTGTTTTGTTTTTGTATTTTTTTAATTTATGAACTAATCTCATTACTCTGGTATTAAGCTCTGTACCTGTGTTTTAAATCTGGCTTTTTGAGGTGGATGGGTGGGGAAAGTCCTGCCGTTCTAAATTAATAGTTCACTTCTCCAGGACAAAATGGAGAAAATCATATTATGTACATTAATAATAACGACACATGGGATTGTTGGTAAGAACTATAGCTGTGTTTTTAAATCTTATATAGATGGTATGTGGACTGTGCATGTGTCTACACGGTGCCTTATGCTGCCATCTTGGGTTTGGGGGTGGGGAAAATACCTTGTGATGAGTGAAAGGCATTAAATAAAAAAAAAAAGTGTTTACATTCTGGGGGACTAGATCACCTGCCTTCTCTTCTCTCCAGCCACTCATGGATCTAGTGATAGATGTAGAATACATACTCTCCCTTTCAAGCTGGGGTTGGACTGGAAGGACTCCAAGAGCCAGAGCCCCTCAGATGTAAAACACAGTGTGTGGCCAACTGTTGTCTGTTGGTAGCGCAGAGTGAAGACGGTTGCCTGGCTGCGTCCACTAGGAGGGAACGTGGACAGTCAGCAAACCCTACTCGTCTTGCAAAGGAAGATAAAGTGCAAGCAAATACTGCAGCTGTGCATATTTATTTCTATGTAAATAAATGCATCTACAAATAAGATTTAGCTTTAGGATTTCTACTGAGCTGGCCAGTTAATCCTTGTTGTCAAAACATTTTAACTCTCTGGGCGTCGATGAATCTCCGAGTCACTTTCTAAACTGTTCCTTCTTGCTTGCTGTGGCACTCAAAGAACCCGAAGAGGATCAGGGCCTCATTGGAAAAGGCATGAAAGAGCGAGCGAGAGAGAGCTGCAGCAAGTAATGCAAACCCCTTGTCCATCAAGGCGAAACAAGTAAGTAAGTGTTGCACAAGTGCTGCTGTTACACAAGCCTGAGTGATACGCCCAGCGTCTAAAAGCATTTACCTCAGGAAATAGATTCACTGCTAGATCAGAGGGGGATTTTCAGCAGGGCTAAAGCAGAGAATCTGATCACAAATAATCTAATCTCAGCCTCTGGCTCAAAAAAGTAGCAGCCAGGCAGCAGCTGTATAACATGTTAGCCATACTAGTCTACATCAGGCACGAACAAAAAAAAAAAAAAAAAAAAAATCTTTTATTAACGGCTTTTGGGGGATTTGAAAAAACGCATCTCTCTCTCTTGCTCGCGCTCTCTCTCTCTCTCTCTCTCTTTCTCTGGGCTGAGTACAATACAAAACAAAAGCAAATGTGTTTTTCACCCTAGGAAAGGTGTTGCTTGTCTCATGGCCTGCTGAGAAACAAGTCGGACAGAATCTTTCCCCTAAAGGTTTTCCAGCTGTGTGACTGTCACAAATAGGAAGTTTTACCACACGTCAAGGAAATCAAACTCAATGGAGGATTGACAGATGCTTGCAAGATAAGCACGCCCATTAATAAAAAGCTCTGAAAGAGGAACAAATGCTAGGAATGGCAAACGCCCAAGAAAGCAAAACTCCAGCTTTTAACACCCTGTCAATCTGTTAATTGTGCTTGTTTGACATTCCAGTGCTAACACCTGTTTCATTTGAGCCAGCAGCACAGATTTTTCTGACGCTTCTTAGAAGATTTTGCTGTCTGAATGTATTTAGAGAGTCTCAAGTTCTCTCATTTTTGCCTCCAAAGTTCCTGGCAGAGCTGTGGGCCTGTTCTCTGTTAGTGCCTGCTCATACTCTACTTATCATTGCTGGAAGCGATTTCTCCATATTCCTCTCTGCTCAGCTCGTGATGTTTACGTCCCCACGGGTAACGCTGCTGATCAGGTTGGCGTACACCAGCTTTAGGAACACCTGGCATACCACCTCCTGCCAGTTGTAGCAGCAGCTGTTCACCTCTCACTAGAGTATGAGGATTTACTGTTCCCGGGACTCTATGATGGCCAGACAAAGAGATCTATAACAGCTATTTACTCATAAACATATGTAAGCACTGGGAACTGGCTAGTGCGCGTGCGTGCACACCCATCCACCCCACCCCCCCCACCCCCAAAACACCAGGCCTTGCTCAGCATTTTCACCTGACTGCATTTTAAAGTATTTGCACACGTTACCTTTCTCAATCACATCACTAACCAGATCAGAGTACAAGTATGCTGTGACAAGGTTCCCAGAGAAGCATCAGTATAGCTGAATCTGAGGTGGGCAAAGCAAGCAACTCATGTTAGTAGCACCATTAAAATGGATAGCTGATACCAAAACGTGTTCTGCCAAGAAATTACAAGTACGTTAGGACCGTTCTCAACCTGCAACACAAACTTTCCGTATCTTAAATACAACGAGGGAGCTGAGAGAGACATATCTGGTGCGATTATACTGGCTCAAGTTGTGAATAGGACTGTAAGCATGAGGGTGCAGTAGCTGCTGCTCTTACCACAACTCATTTCTAACACTACAAAGACCACAATATTTTTCCAAACAAAAGAAAAAAACAAACAAAAAAGCTGTGCACTGACATAACATATTCATTGGATTTCCAAGTGTATCCTTTGCACTATCATTTCTCTCATAGGTAACTAATATGAATATAATGCTGCAGCGTAAAAGAAGAAATCAGTTTTCAAACTACCCATTACTGGGTCCCATAATTTCATGTTCAAATCCTTTCCATGCCACGATCTTAACAGGCTTCCTAATTCTTTGTAAAGCAAGCAGAGACTCTCACCTGGCAGCCAGAGTGAAGACTTCGCTGGTAGGGTGAGCCCATGCCAACACTTGGGCCCCGGACATACATATATTTCTTACTCAAAAAATGGGACTTTAAATAGCACCAGTGCTACATACAGTAACAGTCCACACCTCAAACCACGTCATGAAACCCTAACAGTGTTCATTCCCGTTCTGCTATAGCAGAGCAAAAGAGCCACGTCGGATCTGGGCCAGAAAGGTGAATGAGAAATGAAGCAATTCTCAAGCAGACAACAGGTATTACAAAAACAGCACAAAGCTGTGAGGTATCTGTGAGTGTATAAACCTTCCTCTCTAAGCTTCTGCATGGAGCAGCACTACCACATCAGTCAGGAGTGAGGCAACATCTGCTCATTATTAGAGCAGTTTTGTGACAAGCTACCAGAGTCTCCATTTTCCCCTGCTCACAGAAGTACCATGTACAGACGCTGAAGCCCATCAGAAACAGTGAAAAGCCTCTCCAATAATTTGGCAGAGCTGGGATCAACGAAAGAAACTAAGCTCTCTTTTTCCCCCGGGAGCAGGGTTGGGGGGTTGTTGTTTGTTTGAGGGGAGGAGCAGGGGTTTTGTTTCTGTTGTGCCAACAGTGCAAGGCAGACTGAGTATTTTGTTGTCCTTTATAACAGAGATTGGATTTACGTTAACAGCAAAGGCATGTACTGGAAACTTTTAAAAATATTTTATGTCATTTTAAAGGTATTTTCCAGGCTGTTGCAGCCTCACAGCATGTTTACTGCATAATTTCTAGAGCAATGAAACAAAATTTGGATAATGCAGGTTGCTTATTTGGGTCAGAAACCGGAGAAAAATCTGATCTAGTTCACCCTTGCGTTATCATATTATAAAATTAACGACAGCAACTCACTTGCTACACACTTTAGAAAGGATGGAGTTTCAAATGTTGAGTTAGTGTCGGTGTGCTGCTGGATCTGTTGCTGTAAGAGCAACACAAGTCCTGAAGGCCTGCTGCAGACACTGGAAACACTGTAGGTACAGGGAGATAAATTAGATAGATAGATTTGTTATAACCTGTCACCCCAAGAGGTAGGTTCTAAGTGCCAGAGCAATTGTTCTCGCTTTTCCTAGAAGTGCTTAATATTGCTCTATTACCTTTTCTGTCTCTTGTGGTATTTCTCCATCATCTCTTCTCTGCAAGTTAGGTAAGGATTTTCCATACTTACTGTGGTTTTTCTTAAGTAATATATTGCAGGCTTCATCAGAGCCAAGGTTTTACCCCCAAAGTTTTTATTAGCTTCAGTATGGCCAGAGCTTCACATCTACTACTCAGCAGACTTACAAGGTACTGTGCAAAAATTTATCACAATAATTCATAGTATTGTTTCTCTTCCACTTTTCACAATGATCTTTTCCTGTATGCCAGATCTCTAAATAAGATAATATTTTGTTTTTAGCAGATACATTATATAGAAAGCATAGCATATATGTCAGTATGTAAAAATTAGAGTAGAAAAAACCCTGGAGATTAGTCTTTTCTCAAGTTTCAGTTGTTTATATATTGCTGAAAAACAAGCAGAGCACAGCAAATTCAGCTGTGAAGAGCTCTTGTCCTGAAAACAGAGAACACACCGAATACTTAAAAAGAGAACTAAGAAAATAACACTTGCTGAGAGAACCTACAACCGAGACAAAGATTATTCAGAGATGGAGAGAGATTAATGACCTAGGTAGTCACTGGGAACTAGGTTTCAGGGCAGTCTCCCAGCAGACAAGAGAGAGGCAACAGTCTTTCTTGGGCGTGGTTGCCTTTCCCTTCACCTCTAGGTCCTACAAACAGTGCCTCAGACAGTAATTTAGTATGGAATTGCTACTGTTGCTCCTTTTTGCAAGACCACCTTTTGCTCAGCACATCAAATTTCAATTCTGCCCATGCTTTGGCCTCACTTAGAGCTCAGCAAGCTACAATGAGTTTTACCTGATGAACAGTATTCACATATCCACCCCTAGCTTTGAGCCTCTTCCGTATAATGACTTGCCAAACTGCACCCACTTAATGCATTTCTCTTGCAAAAGCCTAACTCTTTGAGTTTTGAAATCACTAATACTCCACCCCACATACTTGCTTTTCCCCACATCCACTTCAGATGAAGGACAGAAAGAAAAAATATTTTTCCCAAGTTGAATTCATCGTTCGGAGCCTCTCCACCTGTCTGATCTCAACTGCCACTTCTAGCAAGTCTTTCATTTTGTGGAGTGTAACACAAAGCACCTAGCTCGTAACAACTAAATCAAAACTTTGAGATAAAGTGTACCAAAACAGGTTATCTTCTTAGGTCTCTTTTTCTTCAAACTTTTAGTTATTCAGTTAAAACAGAGCTTGGATCTGAAGCATCCAAGCAGCTTTGGCAAAAATCACATTTGGGCCCTGCCCATCTGTGAATAGTTCAGATACAACAGAATAGCTCTTTGTCAAATAGCCAGAAAATTGCAAAGTAAATAGTTGCAAAATATACCTCGCTGCTGAGGATGGAAAAAACACATCATAATTTTTCTATTTTACCAATTTCTTAAGTTGAATTTCTTTCCCTGCAATTCTCAGGTTTAACCACTGGAGGGCAGCTGGACTTCACAGTAAACCACACAGTGCAGAAACGTGGACATACCTCCTTCTTCCTGTAGGCAGTTGTGTAACAAAATCTTAATTTAGTGAAGTCCATATCAAAACTCTTCAGTCTCAGCAGTCTTTCCTGACGAATGTTACTTAAGCAAAAACAAAATTCTCAGCATTTTACCATTTTCATATGAAAGATACTAGCGGACAGATAAGGCAAGCACAGAAGAGCTGACCGACACTTGGCAAGTTCAAGAGTGGTATTTGGTTTAAAAAAAAAATCCAATGACAACGAAAAACCCTTTACTTTCCAAATGTCTTCAATTAAGGTGCAGCTGTACAGCCATTTTAAAAACTAGAACAGCCCTTGCCCTGCATATTCATATGAGCCACTATCATTCACAAAGCATAGGTGTTAGAAGAAACAGGCAGTTTGGTCTCACGGTTCTACCTCTTTGTGTAAAGGACAAAATGGGACATCAGCCTAGACGAAGCACTGATAGCAGAATTTATAGCACTGCCTTTACACTGACGTACCTGCCTGTACTGAGCCTACGGCCTTGGAAGGACTGTGTTGCACCTAATTAACTGCTCCATGTTCCTCCGCTATATAACCACTTACATTTCTATTATTTGAATACTGAGAACCAAATTAACTGGCAGCAGCACAAGAAGGTGACAGCCCACTGAGAATGAATTCTGAAATCCTGCATCCTTAGCCTGCCCATAGTTTCAGTAGGAGCATATTCGCCTCTCTCCAACTAAAACTGCCCAAAGGTAGGCTATGACTACTGCAACAATCACAGATACGTGGCACTGATCCAACTTCTGGATCAGCTGGTCTGCTGCTCATATCAACATATTAAGTTCAGGCTTCTAACCATATCATGTTAAACTCCATCTAGATCATGCCATTTTGAGGGCTACAACAAAACCTCAGAGCACCTTGAATGGAGTATTAGCACATACTATTTGAAGGATGTAGGATTGCTAAAGTTACAGAGAGTTACAACGTTAAAAGAGCTTTTTTTCCTCTTTGCTCCAAAAATATTGCCTATAGAGCAAACTAACCTTGAGCTGACGGGCTCAGATAAGAATGTCAGTCTCCCCTCCTTTCCTCACTGAAAGTCCAAGTGATAATGAAGATTAAAACTGGAATTCCAAGACAAGCTAATTTTGTTCCCCCAGAACCACAAGAATCAGCAAAAATATGTCCACAGGCCATAGAGTAGGTCATAACAGAGGATGGTAAACCAGAGAGAGCGCCAGTGCCTGCAGCTGAAGATGTGTTTTGCCAGGATGATATGTTGGCCAAGGCCAAAGAAGCCTAAACGGATCAAAACCCCTAAGTCAAAAAAAGGCAGATCCTCCACAGAGTAGGGGGTACTCTATACGTAAGTGATGGATGCAGCTTGTGCCTAGCCATGCTTATTTGCCCATATACTTAATAAAGCTGTAGCCTATCTTTCAAATTCGTATCATATGCCAGTTCTCCTTCCATGTGTCCAAGCCAAGGACAGAAAAACAATGTACTTCATACTGTAATCAGCTAAAATGTGAAAAACAATACAGTCACTAGACTATCAAGATTATACCTTCATCTTGACCTGATAAATCCTGTTAAAATCCCCCTCTTCATTGGGATTGTGTCAACTATTCTTTTACATGAGGAAAGAAAACAACCCTATTATAGAGGAAACAATACCCATTAAAGGAAAAAAAACCCATAAACACTGAAATAGAGGCTTCAGAAAGCATCCCGTTTTCCTGTAATACTCTTTTTGACTTTTCATCCTTCATTTTTCCTTCTAACACAAGATCTTATATCAGTGATAGCGATTACAAAGTTACTAACTCAACATTCATAATACATGGGGCAAGACAAAACATCATTTCAAGCTTTCAAGATTTGTACTTCTCTCTAAAGAGTAGCAGTGGACACATTAACTTTAGTTGTTTTACAAATGTATGTAGTAAAATAGCTACATGAGTGGGAACTTTTAAGACAATATTCATATTAAGATTTTATAATGAGCTGCCTGTGTTTCTTCTAACAGATAATAAGATGCATAGCAGTCTCGCCCATTTCATACGTTCTTAAGAGGACTACAGCAGTACTCATCATGGAATCCCCCATCTCTAACCCACAGACATAACTAACAAGACTACAAATACCAGTCCATAACGTCCAGCCTCAATCCAAGTAATGAATAAATGTTACAGAATAAACGCTGGGCCTTTGTTGCTATTCAAAATAAGAGAAAATGAAATGCTACTGAGTTTTATACATAAATGGCTTCTTATTTACAGACTGCCGATACTGCTTTGTTTTTTCCCCAGTTTGACAGGCTGGGATTCAAAGGTCCCACACTTGTGAGACTGAACACCCTAACACAGATAACTATGATCTGGAGACTATGCAGAAATATACATTCATCCAGATTGAAGGAAACTGGAAATTCCGGAACACAAACTATTTTTCTAAAACAGTTTAATAAAAAATTGTGAAGTCTCTTGAAAAATTGGAGAAACCCAAAGCATATTGCGTGTCACCTGTATCAGTCACAAAGAAACACAATCATCGAAAAAGATATTTAAGTTTAATACAAATTTTATACAAAGAAAATGTGAAAAAATACTTCCATATGCTAAAAGCAATTATGCTTCACAAATAAGGCCAGCTAGGCTATTTTTGACACAACTGCAATTCACGAATATTCTGTTCTCGCTTTTTTCTTCTAATACTTTTTTCCCTCTAATATGGGTACTAGCTGGAGACTGTACAAACCGCATTCTTTTATAAACAATGGGAGAAATCAACATGACTAAAATGTACAACAAAATGTACTGGAATGGTATCATACAATTAATTTTCTCATATACATACATCACCTTTGCTTTGTTCAATGCTTTCGTTTTACACAACATACAAAATGGTACTACAGTATAAGTGTAACAGACAGCATTTTCATGGGTTACTTTCTCTCATACTGTACTGTTTCATGCTTACATAAAAACATAAATTCCATCATATAAATAATACATGCTCTGGCCCAGCATCAAAAGTCCTTTGCCCATGTTTCCTGATCCATACATTTCTCCACATCTAGTTCTTGTTCCACTTGAAAAACATTTCAAAGTCCTTTTTAGAGGATTTTTTAAAAAAGAAAACCGAACGGTGAAGCATAGGAAAAAGCTCTACTTTTCTTGTCTTTGATATCTCTGATCAGAAATCATGCTACCAACCAGCTGGTGTTATTCTTTCCAACTTTTCTGATATTAGGCTGAATGAAATTTTAATTTGTTTCCTGTAAACAATATAAATTTCAACAGTCTTGTCACTGTAAAAAACAAGGTAAATACCCTCTTTATGTATTGCAGGTCCACAGACTGGAAATGTCATAATTTGCCTAGGACAATTAACTGAAAGGATACACTTCATCATTTGGTTGCACAGAAAGAAATTCTAATAGAGTTTCAAAGTGCAGAAATTGTTTTCAATCCAAATGCAAATCAAGTTGTTCAGATTCTCCTGATTACCAAACATTAAATGATTTGATGCGCAACTTCAATTTCCCAAGACCAGTCTTCAGTGTTAGCTTGTGATAAGGCTGTTTGAAACCTTCCTTTACCAACTTCAAACGCTCTTTATAAGTTAAAGTCAATACAAATATAAAAAGGAGATGGTACTCTAACTTTAATGACATCCACAAATTGTACATTATTTACAAAAGAAGCATAGATTTAACATGGATCTTACCTGTCCTCCGCTTTTTAAGCCAGCGCTAATGCTTTACATTAATGTAGTGTAGTAAATGCTTTGTACACATATACAAAGCTAAAGTCTGAACCTTTGAGGTTAATCCAAAGAACTGTGTTTATTTTTCACATTTCTATTAGACAGATTTATTTATTCCAACAATTGTATGGACTTCTTGTTAGCAGTTAGACTCTTCGTACTTGGACTGGCATTGTGGTCTGAACATACTGAACTCCAGTTCTCATTGCCACTGTCCCAGCAGAAGGACTTACCACTACAGGAATGGTCTGTGGATTAAAACCAAGAGAAACATATCGTTATGTTAAAGGTCACATAAACATGACCACAGAAATAGAGATTTATTTTCCAGGGAAAATCCAGAGCATGTTCTAGCTTTGTGCAAGAATTAATACCTTTATTACCGCAGTATTACCTCATTCCAAGGCAGAAAGTAGTGTTTTACTTACTTTCCTAAAAGACAAGGTTTTTTTCTTTGTTACTATTACTTTATAATTACAGTGGCAGGTGGTCCTATAGGCACTGTACATACTCTGCCTATGCTTGGAGAATTAAGTTTTCATAGTTATTATATCCAGTTATGTATTTTCCCCAAACTAATACACAAGGAGAGGTAAAGGGCTAAGAAAATCCTTTGTCATTTGAAAAAGAGTTTTCATGAATCAAACTGGAGTACAAAAATACCCTTATTTAAAAGCATATCCTTGTTACATGTTACTTAAATCTTTTTCCCCAAAAGGAACTCCTTCCTGCATTCAGTTGACACAGAAGAGAACATAAAACATTCGTTTGAACAAAAAAGTACTTTAAGTTAACTTTTGCACAAATCAATAACAAAACCATCAACATTACTGGAAACTATCTCATACTCCCTGCAAAAATACTAATATAGAATAAACTTTGCGCTTTCATCGTGCATATCATGATTTAGAAATCTTAACAACGGAAGTTTCAGGACATCTCTAGAGTAACTGATTTACTCTACGGTAATCGATTCTACAGATGGAGAGACAAAGGCACAATAATGTTAAACAATCCGGTCAAGGTCACATCACTCTGGAAGATCTGGAAAAGGATTTATTGAATTTTGAGTCTGAATCTTAACCTTCCTCCAGAAATGTGAGGAAGTTCAGCAATTCTATACCATACAAACTGCAAGTATGTTTCGATACAGTTCCACTGATGCACAACTGATGATCAAACAAATGCATCCATTTCAGTTCACAAGGTTTTAATGTGGAAGAAACAAGAAGTGAGATTTTGAGGAATCTGAAAGGGATGCACAGGCCTCTCCCATGATATTAGCGTAAAATTCCAAAGAGAATATGGAAGAAGAAGTACAAGTTCACTGAAGCCCAATGTTTCCCCACACTGTTTTAAGGAACGACATTAGTGTCTTGATGGCATTTCAACAAAGGTTGTGAATATCCCTACTGAGATTACATCCTAGAGTGTTTATTAGTGCCTCTGTGACAAAGTCTTGTCTTCCAGAAGCCTACCATTCCATTCCCTGGAATGCAAAGATGATGAACTCGTATTTTCACAATATTTTAACTGCAGAAAGAATAAAAACCAAACATGGAATCAATCTGCTAGATCAATTGAAGATTACTGCTATTTGGTAATCAAAGGATTTCGGATGTGTAAGGAGAGTTCAATGGAAATGGTACAAAGAAGATTTACTGAAAGTTGTTCAGAGGAAGAAATTCCTAGTCGGAAACAAAGTGCAAGTTGAAGCCTAAAGAAGCCATTATATAAGTCATCATTCGTATTACAGGTGGGGAACTTAAGGTCGCCACAGTGATCTTTTAAATATACACACTTAGACAAATGAAAAAATAAGTTTCAGTTCTTATAGTGATCAGGATATGGAATGTGCAAGACTCTCTAAATGTGTTAGGATCATTCCCTGAGAGGTAATTTTTCCACCTCTGCCAGTTTTTCCACAAATGTACATTCTGCATACATATTAACATGCACTAAGATTTAAAATTATTTAAATTGCACGTGCAATCATTAGCATACAGAGGTGTCTGTAGCTGTGCAAGACTTATGCAAATATGTGTACAAAGTTTTAAGCATGCACAAATAAAGGCTGAAACCTTGCAAACTCTCCAATTATGTTTTACATAACGCAATATGCTTTGTATTACAGAAAACCGATGAAGATAATGGCCATTTTTCTGAATATTACACGAAACCGCCTTATGATCATTAAACCTCTCAGCCATTTACAAAGAACCTAACTTGTCTGATGCTTGCTACTGATTTTAACACACATATAAAACCTTGTTGTCATAGCAACTCAGTCCAAGTAACTTGGGGCCAATCCTGTGAAGATACACAGTGCTCTCAGTTGAGATACAATGAGTTGAGTTAAAATGCTGTCAGGAATGTGAAAAAAATCATGATACCCAGCTAAAAGCAGTAAAATTTTTGTATGCAGTATGATGGCTATGAATTACTGTAATGTATGTCTGTGCGTGTGTGTGTGTACACACACAGACACAGATACATACTGACATATATATGTTGCAGCTGCTACATATATATGCCTATGTGTAATATATATGCATATATACACAGTAACTTTTATAGCAAATTAGGCCTCACAATCACAGTATGAAAATTAATTTAAATTGTCTAACTTCAGTCAGGAAATGAACTGAAGTTACCTAAACATGGGCTTCTCCTGCTGACCCCACCACTGAGACAGGACATGCAGTTCAGTTACCAGTGTAATATAAGCATTTTTCTTTCTGGAAAGAAGAATGTCAGCTCAGATCCCATGCTGCCTCTGAACTGAACACTGCAGAACATGACCAGTTAAAAGAATGTGATATTATGGCGCATTAAAACAGAAAAATGAACTCACTTCTGTCCCATCTCTGGTGACTGACATTAGGGAATTCAAGTGTCCTTGGTTAATTTTCAATGAAAAAAACCCAGGACTGATTCCAACGCTATTTCTCATCATTTCACAATGCTAACGTGCAAGACTGCCTAGGAGATAACACTACTGATAAATACATTTTTTCCCTTAAGAGTTACTGAGATGTCACAGGAATATCAAGCATAGCTCAGGATTAGTTAAATCTTTTTAGGATACCACAGACAAAAAGATATTTAAAAGATATTTAAAATGAATTCTATATATTTACATTGATGTGGTCAAGTAAGCACATGAAACGGACAAATAACTAACGTAATAATGTAAGATGGAAGTCTGACTATCCTCAGCGCCTTAGCTATACTTAATGACAACTTCTGAATCCTTGTTATAATCAACGATGAAATGAAAGATAAGCTAAGGGTGGAATGTTGCACAGCAAAATAAGGCATTTTGCACTGCAAGTTGAGACTATACCAGTGAATTCATATCTTGATAGAACAGCAGACGGAGACAACCCCCCAGAAATACTGAGCAATTTTAATGCCAGGAACAGTGCTACTGCAGACTGTAAATGATGATGTTGTACTTACAATTGTGGGTTGAGTAGTTGGAATATAGGTGGTGGTCTGCGGTACCTGGACCAGTTTTATAGGCTGGTTGCTTGTCACACCTGTTGCTATCTGCAGAGACAGCACAGGCAACCTCAGTAGAAGTCTCAGCTTTTACATAAATTCCACCTAGTTATTATTATTATATGAAATTTATGTTGGATGTTTTGTTTGTGTTAAAAATTGGCATCTTAATGAATTCACAGGTTACTTCTTTGTTAATAAAACAAAATTCAAATTATGAACATGATTGATGTATACAGCATGATGTTTCAGCCTATGTGAAAGCAATTACAGATTTGTATAATTGGAATATTCCCTGGCAGAAGTCCTGGTAATTTGACTTTCTCCCATCCCATTCCCCTAGTAATACAAAGGATGTGCATCCACAAGCAACACACGTGAACACTGACTGAGCCAGAGAAGTTCAACTAACTTCACCAAAGTATTCCGGTGGAACAGCACATCCTTCTTTCCCTTTTCAAATCTGTTTCCCAAGTGACTCCCTTGGAGGAGATGTCATGTCCAGAGATCCAACATCAGACAGTACCAAAAGTGCCAAGAAATGAACACAGCTCTCTAGTTTACTATGCTTCCCAATTCTAGAGGACTATCTGAATGAGACATCATGCTGGAATCACAATACTACTGAAAAATATTAGTTTGCTTTTAATATTTTAAAATACAACAAGGCTCCTACTGATGGGGGGATCATGTGAAAGGGTCTGAAAGATCAGCCCCCTGTAAAATTTTTCATTTAATAAATCTTGCAAGGGCAGAAGAAAAATGCTGCTGAAATTGGTAATAGTCAAGCCCTACCTATGAAGCAGAATCTTTTCTATAAACATTTTTCTATATACGCAATGTTAAGTCCCTTTTATTAGAGCATTCGCTCATCCTTGCCTACTGAATGCTATCAGAGTAGATGCTATGGAGGATTTCGTAACTGCACACTGCTCCGTTAACTGTAGATCCAGGTGAATTGCTGTATCAGTGTTATGGAACATTGTGGTACCCTAGTGGCAGTCTGTTGTGATAAAGTAAGTTGATTTGAATGCAGGTCTTGAGCTTGGCCTCTGAACCCCCAGGCAAGAAGGGCTTGGAAGTGCTGCAGTCAGTATTGCTTATCAGAAGGCAACTTGTATCGAAAGATCCAGACCAGAAGCTACACTGATGGGTCCTGGAGAGAGAGAGAGAAAGAGGTCCAGTCCCCCTTGGCTGGAAGGATGAGTCAAGCCAACACAAGGTTTTATTGGGAATGAGTGGAGGGGAAAGGGTGTTCCCAGAGGACAGAAGGAGTTTTTTTGGCCAAGATGAAGAAAAAAAAAAAAAAACCACAACTCCCTATCTCACTCCCCAAATCACACACTCTGAAATATGCAAATGGTCAAGAATTCCTGGCTGATCCAGGGAAACCTTTAGGGGTAGATTTAAGAGAAATCTTATATGTTATTTTTGTTTGAAGTGACCACAACGATACTCACTGTAACACCCTCTTTGCTTTTATCAGCTGAACCTTCTTTTTCCTTGGGGGTGCTGGCTGTTTCTGCAGGTGTAGGCTGCACACTGGAACTGGGCTGGGATGATTTATTTAATGTTTCTGTGCTAATTTCAGTATCTGTTTCTTGCTGTGTTGCAGTAGCTAAAATAGAGAAAAAAGACAGAAAATAGCCCCTACTCATGTGCCAGTCCACGGTCACTCTTTTTCACAGGCACATTTGCACCCATGCAAATGAATAATATTGAGTCATTGTAAATTCCATCCACCCTAATTCCCTCACTTGTGAAATAAACAATCCAGAGCAAGAATACCTGACTGCGTGCAGGATTTCATATGCTCAGGCCAGTGAGCTTGCTGGCAGGGATAATCACAGTAGCTGGTATTCCAACAGCAATAAAAAATGGCCTCTTTCTTGCAGTTGGCACACCACTGCTTCTTTTTAGTTTCATCCACTGCTTGCTGCTTTTCCAATTCCAGCTGCTTTTTCACCTCAGCAATCAAGCGATCCCGTTCCTGTTCTAGACTCTGACGCATTTCAGCCATTGTCAGCTCTACTCAAGATACAAAGAAAGATGAGTTGGCATTTCTTCCAACAGCAATGTGCAAAGCAATAATTTTTTTAAGTTTAAAAGTCAATATGAAATTGCAACTAATAGCAACTTAAAAGACAGTGAGCTTGAGCGTTTCTGATTCATACTTCCTGAACAAATGAGTCCTTCATCCCCTTTTCTTATTCTGACAGCGTTATTCTAACCCTTAATCACCACCTACCACTGGTATAACGCTTTATTCCTAGATGTCCCACAAAAGATCAGAACACAGGTGTACCAGATGCAGCATAAGCACAAAAAGCTGCTATTAAAAGACTTTGTCTTTAGAAAACCAAACTGTCTCTACAGAGAATCATGTTTCTTCTCTTTCCTTATGAATAAATAACAGCTGATCGCTTCTTCATTGTGCCTTGGTTTCTTTACAAAGAAAAATATGAAAGTTGCAAAGGGAACCCTGATAAAGCTGCAAAAGCATACCACTACGGAAATAAAGCTGTAAATTTGAGCCTAGCTTTAGGATTGCTCTGAGAGGCACACATTATTGATGTAGCTGTAAATGGATACCCTCAGTCATTATGAGGAGGGAGAGAGAGCAAGCTTGACATAATACTTCAGAAAGTGGGCAAATATGAATAAAGCACTCCAATGGCAGCTACCGTGACTTAGGATGAATCTTTGAGTCCTCTGAAAAACTCTGAAGCTGATATACATTCAAAATATTACTAAAGGTGTTTATTTAAATAAACAGTACTGTAAGACTGGTGACCCCAAGGGATTTTAACGATTTTTTTCCAAGTGTCTGAGCACACCTAGACGTTCAGTCATTCTGTGAGTTGCAGCCAAGTTGTTGCCATACCCAAGTAATTCTGAAGAATGCTGTAACTGGACTGCAGAGGTGGAGAAACTGGCCTGTTCTGATTTGAAAGAGCAAAATGCTATGAACAAACCAAAAGTATGAGTTTGAATATGGCCCTTCTCAGCTGCAAAAATTCAGCCCTTGGCCCCACCTCCACTCCAGATGTGCTCTGCAAGAAAAAGGCAAAAGGTGGACTAGGATAGTATTACACAGTCCTAGGGCTGCTTGGACTGCATGTAGGTTAAAGACGACTAACTTTTTCTCACTCAATTGCAATCATCTTCCCACAGGCAGTGTATTAAATAAATATAATTTATGAGGAATGTCATTACAATCACTGTTTCATTTCCTGCCTATCCAGCTGAGTGAACGTGAAGTAAAAATCCCCCTCTTTGGAGGGAACCTATCTGTTTAAGCCAGTATTTTGATCTCCTTTCACTGACAGGCTGGCATCAAGATTGAGTCAAGGCTGAAGATTAGTCAGTTTCTTTAAAAATAAAATCTACTGACAGCTAATTTGAATGATAATGTCAGCTACAAATTCTACAGATCTGAGGATGCATGTGCCCCTGGAGGCTATATTGACAGAACCTGGTTGGAAATAAGACTCCACACCCAAATCCATATTACTATGGATTTTGTTCATATAAGAATTAGCACAAACTAATCAGCATAAAATACCTCTAACAGAGTGTCTCATAAGGATGGGTTATCCAACGATCCATGAATTAAGAAATGAGTTATTCTAACTCCTAACAAAAGTCCTCTGTAGCCTAAATTCCTCTCACGGGGCTAAAGCAACACCTGTTGTTTACTAAAATGCACAGATAAAAGTAACTCTGAATATGTACTGGAAATGTGTCTATTAACGTCAGCACAGCACATTCTGTAATGTTTTCTGCCCTTCACGTGGGTAATTTATAGTATCACACGATGAAAGTAAGGTACACCACAGGTATTTCAATTTTCTGTTTATGATCAAGACTGACAAACTGTTTTTGACTGCTGTTTTCATACCTAGATTATGCTTCATTTCTGAGAGTTCCTGTTGATGTAACCATTGAAGTTTTTCTATCTCAATCCTCAAACGACGAATCTAAATATTAAAGAGTTAAGATTTAATAACAACAGTGTGGAGTATGTAATTCTTAATTATTATATAGAAAAACACGCCCAAAATAAAAAGTCTGATTATCACTTACACTAAGGCTCCTTTTCATTAGAATGAGGACAAGACCACAGTCAAACAAAAAACAAAGTCTAAATTATTCTAAACTCCTTTTTGCTAGATTTTCCTGCCAGGAAATGGACAAGACTGCTTGAAAATATGAAGCCCTTCTATCAAAACTTGGTCTTTCTTCCTCTGAAATTAGTTGAGCCTCAGATTTATCTGACTGGATTCAAAATCCTCTCTCTCAGGTTTTCTTTCTATTCATTTGCATGCCATTTGATTTTTTTTTTTTTTTTAACTAGATCAGGTTTACGAAAGTATGTTTTCATTCACTGTGGATTGGAAATACAAATAACATTGCTCTCAACAGTAACTTCTTTATTTTGGTTAAAACAAGCAAACAAACCATCAGACACTTCTACTCTGAGCTTTCTCTTGCTCACATTTGTGACACAGCATAAACTGTGTACAATCAGCTTTCTCTAAGTTAAAAAAAAAACATTTAAAAGATACCGACTATCACCTCTAAAGAAAATGACAAGCAATTTCATACTAAACGCATAGTAAACAAAGGATGATAATATGGTCAGCAAACTTAAAGAGAAGTATTAAAAACTATGGTCATAATCACATAACTGGATAAGCTATTATACTACAAGTAAATTAAAATCCTCTTGCTCTGGTAGATAAATACATGCTTTAAAAAATTATGTCTAAAAATTATTTAATTTCTGATATCACTCTGGTAAATCCACACAGAAGGAAACACAAAAACAGATTCTCAACAGAAGCTAGACAATTAAATATCTTTAAGGATCCGGGCTTGATGGCTTACTGCTTTTTTCTGCCTAGCATGTAGGGCCCCCATCTGATATTTTTTCAGTGTATTTCTCTACCACACTAGTCATTACTTCTACAACATCACAGCAATCAGGATCTCCAGACAGTCTTAACTCAGACTATTTTGCAGGTACAGCTATAAGGTATGTATCTCAATTTAGTTACTGAATACAGAATTTATATACATTACACTATATTACAATTTTCTAAGTTAAATATAACCAGTATTATTTTGCTTTTCTTATCTTACACTAACCTCAGCTATTGTACTTCCAGTGGTATTTTTGGAAAGATCATTATATATTTCAGTCATTGTTCCTTTAATGGCATCCATCATCTGAAAGATAAAAAAGAAAAAAAGTTTCTTTGCTATATGTTTTTAATAGATACCCATTTTATCCTGCTGTTAACCCCTCTAATATGAACTTAATATTACTATCAACAATGTCACATATCCATACATATATTTGCCTGAGTCTTTTTAGAAGGTAGAAGAGAAAATTTTTTGATCAAGGGTCTGATTTTTAAAGTGATGCTGCCAAGATGGACGATTGTACCACAATCCTGAGTTGGTAAGCTGGTTTACCTTCTGACCTCCAGGAAATGCCATTGATATAACTTATGAGCAAAAAATATAACCATAAATTTGGGGAAGAAAAGCAATGGAAAAAAAAAAAAAAGAAGAAGAAATAAAGGCATTTACTGACAATCCTGATCTCTGACTGACAATCCCACCCCATCTATATGGTTGAGGAGGATACTGACAGTTGAAAGTCGAGATTAATTCTGCTACTTTTAACTTCTGGGTACTCAACTTTATTACCTTATACAGTATTCTCTTTGACTTCTTAATTTTAAAATCTAAGAAAGCATATCAAAAGCTAATCTCCCTCCCCTCACTGTGACTATTTATTTCGACAATCCATGTATTACAGTACATTTTCTCATTTACAACTTGGCTTGTTTTAATGCGTGAATACATGCTTACAAGTTGCCATCTGATGAGGCTGTACAGTGTTTTAAAACAGCATCACTTTTTTTGTATGTATTACTGAATACAAATGATGAAATATTTATGTTTACTGTAAATTTGACACTTTCCTAAATACTGAGGGGATATCTAGACCTTCAAGAGGACATACAGAAAATGGTCCAAAACACAGTGCAATGTAACAAAAAAAAAAGCAACTGGGGGAACATGACAGGGAATGGAGCTAAAATATCTGGGCCCCTGAAGTCTATCCCATATAAACTGTGGCATACAATGGCAGCGTTCAGTCAACTGTACAATGACAGCTCTGCACTCTCATCCAAATCCAGCCGATACGGCCCAGCCACACAGAACAACCTAATGCTTACTGATTTCAAAAGAAAATTTTTATTTCAGAATTTGAAATGTCAAAATAAAATTTCAGGAAAAACTTGCTCAAGAACTTACTTTGCTAGTATATTTAGCAATATCTGCAGCCACATCAGCTGAAGCTGTTGCTATTGGCAAGTCTGTATTAACTGAAGAAGAAAGTGTACTTGCAGATCCAGAACTGGTAACCATAGAAATAGGCTGAGTACTTGTAACTAAGGTTATAGTTGATGTAGAAGTGCTCTGGGTGATCTCTTTTTGCTGCACAGCTAAGAAAAGAACACATACAGATGATCATCAATCACATAACAAATATGAAAATGAATAGGCAGACTTCTAACTTTAATGTCTGTTAAATGTATGCACAGAGTCATTTCAAGGCTTTTATTATTTATAAAATGGTGCCATTTACTCAATTATACAGCACCCAGCCACTGAACCATATACAATTACAAGCTTCCAAAGTAACTAAGTAAATATAACTTCTAAATGTAAAAGTTTTTGCCTGGCTAATACAAAAATCTCCCTCAAATTTGCATTTTCCACAGTTTTGGACTCCTCCATTCCACTTCCTAGGAATTCACTTCCTAATCACTCAACTTGGAGAATTCCCAACCGGTATCACACACATGAGCACAGGTTAGCCTTTAAAATTGCCATTTGTCGCGGTTTTGAAATTTATTATTGAATTATTCTCTTTTATTTTGAAACAAGATTTTTTGAGCCACTGTTCAAGAAATTCTGTTTTTGCCTTACTTCCTGATGTTATTTCCATTCTTTTGTTATTAACGCTATGAATATTGTTGGTTTTCTGTTGTGATATGTTTGCTATATATAAATTCAGGTCAACATTAGCCTTTGGTTGGCTGCAGAGCAAGGGATGCAACATTAGATTAACTCATTAAAGCAGTTTTATTATGAGAAACCTTTGCTTATCCTTCTTCATTATTTTAAGCAATCTTTAACTGTGGGTACTAGTAAAAATCAAAATGAGAAAAGTCTCACCTTTTCATCCCTAACAAGTTATGTGCCTTTCTTTTTTTTTTTTTTTTTTTAGGAAGATACATTTCAATCTATTTTTAATGATTCACATCATAAAAGGTCTCTCAGTTGCTGACATCCTCAAAATAGAATTTTTTGAAGTAAAAGAAATTATTCAGATTATCTGTATTCAGTACTCTTTCATTTATGCCAATTTAATATACAAGAAAACTATATATTTTACAATATTTTCATCTGATATATTTCTAGCATATAATACTTCTGACAGAACACAGCTATGATACAGTGAATAGTAAATATATTGATAAAATAAACTTATATATTGAATATTTAAAGTTCAGTCCACACTATTAAGTCCTTATATAAAAGTATGAACCTAGTAAAAATAAGAATTCACAGTTTCACATTCATTTTTCTAACTGTTTTTTTTTTTTTTTTTTAATCAAAGTCATACAGTCTACAGGTAGAGAGATATCATTTCTTATTCTTAAAGGACTGTTCACAAAAGCAGTTTGGGAACAGACAAATGTCACTGATGTATGTCTGTACTGCGCTCCCTGTTACTTATACCTCTCTTCTGCCAGAAATTACTGCCTTGACAGCAGTCTTAGCAAAATGGAAAATACTTGCATGCATCGGGCACATCAGTCAACAGTCCAGTTTATTAACTAGAAACTACTAATAAGGCTAGATTTGCATAAAGTTGCTGGTTTGTGAAGTGAATCAGTTTAGGCATGGGCTTACATTAGCACATGTCTAATACTAGGGAAACCTCTCTGTCAAAGGGATGATAAGAAAACAGTGGTGGAAACATTTCAAAATGCCATTCCTGTTTCAGTGTACTAGCAATGCAGTCCTGTTAAGTTCATTACTCTCGTTAGCAACAGGATTTCAAAGACAAATGCAGTCTGGGTTAATTTCTCTGTCCTCAAATTATACTCTAAGAAAAACTGTACAAATCAGCTTCTGGTCAGATAAAACTGGATCCAGTTTGTAGAAAATGAGATAAGAGTAGTAATCATGCAACCGGAACAGAGTTAATGATTTTATCTTGTAATCCAGAAAATAATTCAGTTCGCTCTCCCAGATCTGTGATGGCTGAGAATGGCAAAAATATATATACAGATACATATACAAACTTTTTGTCATTATAATAAGCAGACATGACTCTAAATACACACCAGAAAGAGCAGGTATGGTGAGCAAAGTTGTTGTATTTTTAAAGTCACTTATCAGAGTAGAACCACACTTTGAGATTTTGTACATATGGAGGAATTCCCGGTTAGGCAGCCTTGGAGAACTGAGATCACTACTGGGGAATTATGGCATCACGGGCACATTGAGTTAGAAAGTGTATACCTTTAACTGCTTGTCTTGTCTGATATCTCGTCCCTTGAGAGGACTGAGGTTGCTGTGACTGAGACTGCTGGCTCTGCTGCTGTTGCTGCTGTCTCTGCACCTTCTGCATGTGCCATTTCTGAGAAGAAGTCTGAAATTTATTTGAGGAATTCCACACTACTCGCTGCACAGCGGGCGCCGTTTCCTTAGGTAGTAGAGGCCTCTGCTTTTTCACAGGGCTTCCAGTGGCTGCAGATGGAGCACTAACAGTAGAAGTAGCACTAGTAGTTGCTGTTACACCAGCTGGTGGAGTCTGCGCTGCAGAGCGGGTAAGTACTGGAGTTTCTGGTGGGGGCTGGGTGCTTGCACTGGAAGAAGGTGGAGTTTTACCTAAAACTAAACAAAAGTAAAATGTAATACGAGCTTTTCATCATCACATTTGATCTATAACTTCCCATCTTTTTTTTTTTTTTTTTGGAAAAGAATCACATGCACCTTCCAGTCTACCTTGAATTATATTCCTCAAAAATTTTGTAAATGAAATTCTATCAGTAAACTCATTTCAGTCTAGTTGAAGCTAGTGGCAATCCAGAAGTACTAGCCATTAAAGAAAACAAAAAAAGTAAAAAAAAATTCAGAAAACCAGCCTGACCTTCTCTGGAAGATCAGAAGTTAGCATCTGTTAGAGCATGTTTCTGAGTTACCACTAACACCTGTTACCCCAGTTTCTTTAAGAAGAAAAGTCAATTACACTCAAAAGGAACAATTAGCTAAAGAGAAAAGTAAATTTTTCTTCAAATTTCAAATTTCAGCCACGGCAATACCAAATAAATGAAGGAACAGCATGCTAGAAACCTTCTAAACAAAATTGAACTGGCACTGACCATCAAATACAGCGTATTAAGATTTCTACATTAACTGTGAGGTCTTCCAGAGTTAATAGCTGACTGTTCCACATATCAGAGCCTACTCCCCTACTATGCAGCCTGGCAGGAAAACATTAACATTGGTCAAAAAAAATATCTTCACCGCAATGGCTTGTGAGCTACTTGCATGGATGCTCTTAAACATATTTTCGTGCTGTGACTGAAGTGATTTTAGCAAATCCTCTTCTGTGAAATAGTAAGAGACAAGTAACTCTTTAAGACACCCAGTCAGCAAACAGGTATCTGAAAGCAGCTGTTATCTTGTAACAAGCTGCATCAGCCAGAGTGCGACTGCTTACAAACAGAGCGTAAGCAGAAGTTCTTAAACAGGCAGTGTAATTAGGCCAAGAACTGGAATACAGTATCCCATCATTACCTGTTTGTCAAGTCAGGGAAAAAAAGGCAAGAACGCTTTAGCTATAATAAATAATAAAAAACCTAACACTGGACACATGAAATCCTTGTTCAGTCAAAAGGAACATGCAGGAAATTTATTCACACTAGAGTTGTGATACCCGTTCAGGGCCTTTACCCATTCAATAAAGCATGGCAATAAACAGTCAAGCTTTGTTCTGGGTAGTCAGCTTGTTCAACGCTGAACCACTTGCAGTGAGAGAATCCTTACAGAATAATTAAATAAATTTGAAAATCAATTTCTATCTGTTGCGTACAACAAGATTCTCAAATCAGCAAGAACACTAAACTGTTTTAATTTAATTTTAACTTACATTTATAAGAAAAATGGCATCATCTCTAGCCATGCAGTTGCAGGTGTAGGGTTTGACTTGGATCAAAAATGGTAAATTATTCCTCGTGATTCACCACTGCCCACTCTTACTGAGGATTTATCACTTGCTGAATAACTAGTATCCTGGGCCCCACTGAAAGGTTTTTATATACCTCAGCTCACCTAGAACATGTTAATTTATTTTCAAAATCCAGTGGCTAGAGAAGTCCCCTCTTCCTTCACATGACGAAAACACTAAGGAAATTGGGAAATCCCTTTCCTAAAGGTCTAGAGATCTTTTCCCCCTGTCTCTGCAAAAGCCGTAAGAAATTCATCCCCTTTACAGCACCAACAGCAAAGGGGTAATGAAGCTGAGTGGTCCTCTTGGTGACCTGTCTGAGCTTGGGGCAACTAATACAATGGGACTCTTGATCCCACTGGCAAGCTCCAGTACACGAGTTAAATCTCAGGCACAATGTATTTTAGGAACTGGATGAGTCTTCCTAAGCTACGGCCAGGAAGAAGATGTCTGAAAGAGAAGGCTGCTGCCTTGTCAGTTTTCAAAAAAAAGGGGCACAGACCTTCTGATTTGCATGCGTCAGGTCTCCTTCCTGAACTGAGGGATTTTAGTATCTGAGAGTCATGAGTAAAGCCTTGGAATCACACACTGGACAACTTATATCTGGAGCATATTCATACAGTTTTTATATGAATATTTAAACTCACTTTTAATTTCTTTCAGAATATGTATTATTATTTTGCCTATGTATCAGAGTCAAATTTTAGATTTACATACTATTTCAACCATCACTAGGTTTAGGTTACCAGTTATACATGAAGCAGTGATTTGGAAATTAATATAGCTGCCTTGATTTATCAAGTTTTAAACAAAATAAGGAACAGAGAAATTATAAACCTCTCCAAAATAATATTTCTACCATTTTTAGTTTAACATGTATGCCTATTTTCTAAAATATCTCATAGCAATATTTATCCATTAGGTTCCACTTTTTAAGATTCAAAATACAGAAGCACTAAATAAGCTGTCTTCTAAAGTACACTTAGCAAACTGATTAAAAATATTATAAATGTTCTAAATAAAATGATTGAAGTAACATGCTGGGTAACAGAGAAGAAGAAAAAATAATATGAAGAATATTTGTTTTTAATTTCATTTTAACCTATTCTGTTTTTCTATTTTGTTTTGTCAAAAAGCTAACATGCAGAGCACACAGTTAGCAACAGCATTTTACTCAGTAGTTCAGTATGCTTTCCCTTTACTTTTACTAACACATGAAAATACTACATAAGGGACAATACATATGATTTACCTGTTCTTTACATGTGATTTACCTGAGAACATTTACACTGGCTTTAACTGGACATTATACAATTTACATAATAGATTTAATTCCAACTTCTGCTGCTGCTGCAATTTTGGGAGGTTTATGGAAATGCTAAAATTTCAGCCGAACGTCATGAAAATTTGCAAAAAGAACTCTAAATTGACAGAACACATTATATATGTTTATAGCTCTGTGCTGCTGGAAGGAAACTCAAAGAAAGATTTTTTATTTAAATCAGAAATTATAATGGGGACTGAAAACCTTTTTTTCAGAGTCACGAAGAATGAAAAATCATTCACACAAATTAATTGTTTTGGCATAGGTTTTTTTAAAATATTTTAATGCAATAATAAAGCTAACAGCTAAGGCTTCATTCAAATTGGCTTTGATAATAGTCCTAAAGTAAAGTTTGGAAAAAAAAAGGGGGGGGGGGGGGGGGGGAAACCATTTCACCCTATAATCTTCTTCAGGAGGCATCTTAATGCAATAATAAAGTTAAAAGCTAAGGCATTCTGTAACTTGGATTAGATAATAGTCTTTAAGTAAAGGAGGAGAGAAAAAAAGGAAAGATTTCACCCTACCATCTGGTTTAGAAGGCAGTTCTTTAGGTTCTTTCTTGGTTTTCCGTCCTTCACGCCCACAATGATCATCTCCTAGGTCGATGACAAGTTCACTCTCAGAATCCGAGTCCAGCCCTAGATGCACAGTTGGAGAGTCCGTTTCATCTTTACCTTTCAGTTTTTCTTTTGCAGGATGTTGCAAATTTTTTCCCTTTTCAGAAAATTCTTTTTCAGTGTCTGTAATTGCCTTTTCTTTAACTGGGTCATCTGTTTTCTCCACTTCTGGACTTGTGCATTTAAGTTCCTCCTTGTCTTCATTCTGAGATGGGGGCTTAGGTTTTTTTTTCAATGTCAATGATTCTTTGTCACTTCTTGCACCTTCCTTGTCCTCTCCATCTTCTTGATCATTCTTTGATTTCTGATCCTCATCGCTATATTCACTGTCACTGGTGTCAGATTTTTCAGAATCTTCAGAGTCACTGTGTTCTACTGCAGTATAAACAGCTTCAGATATTTCATTTATTCCTAATTGTGGGGAGGAAAGTACATTCCATGCTGACATCAGACTGACTGACATTACCAAAAAATACTCTAAATGCTGGAATAAAGTACATACATACCATTACCTTAACTGTCAGTCCTTAAACTATCAACACCTTCCTTACTGCCCTATCTCAGTATCAAAATATGCAAGAATCACCTTCCAGATATTCTAAATCATGCTTTATTAGATGTAATGGACCTCCTTTCACCACTTTTTTCCATTACCTCTGAGTTGTAATTTGTTCAACCTAAGACCAATGCTGCCAGATATTCACAGGAATAATTTTTATTGACGCTAAACCACCGTAAAAATCAGTAACGCCATTTATCTGGTTAAGGTTATTTACATACATGTTTGCATATACAATTTTAGACTCCATAAGTTTTGTTAGAAGAATCTCTAATTTTTCAGTGCCTACAAAGTCTTTAATACCTGCTAAGTGCTATACAGCACTAATGTTTTGTAACAACAACCAGCTCCTGTATGATTGGATAGATCATTAATACGTGTAACTGGAATGAGCTAAGTATAGTTCTGAATTTTTAAAATTACAAGCAAATAGTAAGACTATAATGCTGTCAAACTATCTAAATCAGAATGGCATAAGATCAGATTAAAAGATGAAAGCTTGTTGACAAAAATTTGAAGTATCAGGTTCTATTATGTTTTAAATTAAACTAGCTAAGTGCATTCCATTTGCCCTGAAGAGTTCAAACATGCTCTTATCTTGTTTTAATGCATAAAATATTTAAGGCTTTACAATTTGAAAACTTTTTCAAACTCTAAAAAGTTTCTTCAAGTGTATCCTTCAGGTGCTCATTGTATTCTTGCAACACACTTACCAAGTTGTGCTTTACAACTCTCTATTGTCTTGTCAAGATTAAGCTGGAACCTACTACGGATCTGTCGTTTTGGTGAAATGAGTGGCACGGGGGTGGACTGCTGTTGGACTGACTCACTCAACTCTTTCAGATCCATTTCAGCTTTGCTACGATCTAAAAAAGAAAAAGCAATTAAGAAAAATTAAAAAAAATCATGATCTGTGAAAGACAGAAATGTTACTGAGTAACAATGTGGGACCATCTGAAACATATTTCATTTATTTTATAGCTATGGGCTGCAAGTTCTAAACAATAATTCTAAAATGACTTTACTACAAACAATGGATTTCTCCTTTCAGATGCTACATATTTCACATTCAAACTGCACGCACTAGTTATGTGCAAGTTTTCTCTGCTATGCGAAATTATCAAGTAAGCATCAGTCTAGCCTTGTCAGTCATCTGACAGTACTTCCAGTAAGCTGCTGCTGTTATTTACCACTAGTAGTACATTTCTTCAGAGACTGAGAAATTGAAAACAGAAATCCTTATAGTCATAAATCAAAGTTCAAAAGATAAGTTCAGGGGAAGAAAAAAATAAATGTTGATGGTTACACGAAAAATTAATGATTCAAACTTTTTCAATATATGCCAGCAAAATCTTCTCTTGAGCTCTCCCATACACTTAAAAGTTTTCACTCTCAAACGTATGGACCTGTCTGCAAAGAGTACAGACTAGAGTGATAAACCTAAAACTATCTTAGCAACTAAGCTCCACTTTTTTGTCTCAATTTTTCCACATAGGTGATATTTCTATTCCATAGGCCTATCCTCTACCCTCTGCCAAAATTGCTGTTTGCCTGACAGTCCATTGCCTGACTCCTGACAGTCACTCAGGGAGCTAAACCAGTTTTGGGTTAGTTGTCTGCTTGAGGAGGACATAGAGAAAGGGGAAGGAATGAAGAGAGGAATCGGGTTCTGCCCTTTGGCTCCCTGAACTGGGTCATCACAGGATCAAGTAGGAGCCAATGCCATATTCTGGGAAAGGGGAGAAGCCATGGAAGAGAAGAGGCAAGGCAACACTGGCACAGATGTGAATTTATGCTTCTCTTAAGACTGTCACCGAACCACAATTAAAGATGGTCAAGGTCAGTGTTGCCATTTTTTATTTTTAAACATGTGGATAGGACATTTTTTGATGTGCGATTCATAGAGAATAAAAGTGAAACAAATATGAAGGACTAAGCCAGTGTTTCCTCTGGTCCGACATTCTTTACAAGCTTCAGCTTAATATCAAGGTACCTTCTAAACTTAAAATTTAAGAACCATAGTACAAAATGACTCAACCTCAGCAGTGCAGGTGTCAGAGTCAGATTTTGCCATTCTCTCTCCTACCAGGTTGCAAATAGAATCCATATTACAGAGAGAGCGCTTCCTTCTTTACCTGCTAAGCAGCTCATGCAGTTCTCGTTTACTGCTAAAATAAGTTTCCCATCTCCTCCAAGGGAAAGGCAGAAACTTGTATGGAACAATCCCAGGAGCCAAACACACAGGCTATAGTTTGGACCATCCTAGCTTATAATATACATGTAGTATAGACAAACCAAGAAGTCAATCATCCTTCCTAGAACCAGAGAAACGATCATAAAAGTAATAGTGAATTTCACAGTCCTCCTATCACACTTCCATACTGGAAGAGGCTAAACATAATACAAACTCAGTCATCACTCAGAGCGATGTAATTGTTTTCCATTGTTTTCGAATATAAAAGACAAGGCTCCAAGTCACTTAAGTACTTTTGAAACATTTGCTCTTTGTATTGGAGATGAGTTTACTAAATTAGGTTTCTTCCTCCTGTGCACTTATAGATGGATAATATCACTTTTAACCTTTTGTAAGAGATGGTCTTCAAATTTTAATTCAGCTCAATTCAGGAAGATAATTTTCTGGATGATATGAAGTACACTGATTTACAATTTTGGAAAATATTTGGCAAGGAACCACAGCCAATTATTGCAGCATGAACTGCATGGTCGCTTAAGGTAACTTGTAAGCTAGTGCTGCCTTAAGAATGGTTTTTTCTGACAGTGTTTGGGTTTCTCTGCATAAGGAAATGGAGCTAAAATTCTCCTTACTCTAAACAAGGCTTCTGAGATTGAAGCAAAACCAACCCAATTCAAAAAGTGCACAGATCAGATTATCTCATTTGAACCAAACAGATAAGTGAGTTAAACAAATTACTGACAACTTCTGTGCAGCCTTCTAAAGCATAATCATGCAATTTTATCCTTTAAATAATAGTATGCAAGTCCTTGAATCTTTTTCTTCACAAAATGTTCTCCATCCCAGTTTCAGCAAAACAAACTGATACAAAAAAGATATTTCTTTCCACAGTTACCAAGTGACACTTAAAAACTATGGACTATAGAAATCTAGGTTCCATATGCCATATAAGGTTCTATATTCTATGTAAGGAAACAATAAACTTATTTCGTTTTCCCCCCATAATATTCTTTAGCTCCATCACCCAATCTACTCTAATTCCACAACAGTAATACTAATATCCTGCTTAGCAGAGAAGGTGATTCAAAGACTTCACAGTGGAAGAGATGCCTTTTACAAGGTTTAAATAGTTTTAATTTTTTTGCTTAATTTTTAAAATAGTTTAAATAGAGTTCTTTTCCTCCCCGCTGTGAGAAAATAGGATAGAATATGAATAACAAAGCAGAGCACCAAAGAAAATTAGTCAAATCACAACTGCAAATCACAGCTTAATTGAACTCTGGCTTTTATTTAACTGTCCCAGAGAGGCTGAAATAAAAATCAAATTTCAGAGTCTAACTTCCATCTAAACTGGCAGCAGGTAACCCTGCTATATACCAACTCAAGTCTCCTTGATTTCTAGGTTGGAAAGGTAAGCTATTGGCAAAGTTTAAATTTTGTTGTGATGAAAGAAATACTCCTAAGAATTAATTGTGTTAGTATATTTATTTTCTAAAACTGCACATTTAGAAAGCAATTAATGAATGTCATTTACAGTGCTGAAACAAATAAGACATCTAGTTCCAGTGCATATGTAAAAAACAGACTTAATGTATTTTACCGTTTTTTTCCCATTGTTATTCTAGATATTGCCAGAATAACACCCTACAAATACTTACAGCAGTCTCTTAAGTTTTGTTCCTAAATGCCGTAAGAATGTATAGTGTTGCTGCAGGACATGGCAAATACAGAATTACCGTTAGTTAACTACATAGAAGGATACAAATATAGGCAACAATAGAAGGAGGCAGGAAAGATGAAGACGAGAGACGCTCTAGTATTTCCCCAGGGAACCCTACCTCTTAACATATGAGAGAAGACTCTATCCAATCAACAAGGTGTCACTGAAAAGATGGGGACTTGCAATTTGCTTTACTAATGTCAAATTATTAGTAGAAAGAAAGCAGACAAAAAGGCAGAGAAATCCACCGAGGAGAAATGTTCAGGTTCTCCTCTCCCATCACTCCTCTAAAAATTTTCACTCATTATTGGGTCAAAGTTGTTCTTCAATCTTTTCTGCCTTTGTCCCTCATACAGACACAGGTCTCACGCTATCTGGAATATTTTCTTTTTTTCCAAACCATCTATGTATAGTACAGCTTGGTCATTCACATAGTCCGTTTTTCACTTCAGCCGGTCTAAGAGTAACTACAGCTGGCTCACACGCACTATTTTTCTTTTCTTACTGCTATACTGAAGGAGAATCATAGGAGCCCTTCTAGTTCTCTGCCCGAAGTATGTAAGTGTCTTTCTATTCTGGAATTTCGCTTCTGTTTTTCAGAGAGTTTTCACTTTTCTGTTTGCGTTACGCTTGACAGTAAGGTACAACGAGTCATATCTGAAAGCCATACAACTCACAGACGAATCTATGCCTGGCAGAGCTGACACTATCTAATGGGAAAAGGCTGCCATTTTCATGCCTAGCAAAAACAGCATGTTTAGCAAAAGAAGCTTCCCTAAAGCTGAACAAATAACTGATATTTTATCTGAATATGTGCTGTTATTTTACAGTGACCCTCATGAACCATTACACCAGGTTTTCAGTTCTGCCTCATTTATTCAAAATATTCTACGTCCCAGCTAATGTCTCCCAACTGTGATTTACACCATTTCAGCACCACAATATTTCTTAAGGTTTGTTGCAAATGAATCATACCTCAGATAACAAGACAAACAGCTGCAGTAGAGCAGAAGAAATGATTTTATGGTTCTGTCAAACAGACAGCTTAACACTGGAAAAATAGACTATAAGCTTGTTTCCACAGTGAAAAGATCCGTAGCTCACCAAAAACATGAATCCAACATTCGAGCTCAAGCCCTCCTGGATTTGTCTAAGACCCAGGGGCAGAAACCTGTCTCTTCACGTAATATCACATGAATGTAACATGTAGCCAGTATTCAAACACTGAACCAGAACACAGCATGATTGAGGAAACCTATTTACATCAGTTTGGCTTTCAGAACTATTTTACCTAGTTAGTACTTAGCCACCCCATCTTTCAAAATACCAGAATCCCCAAATTTACTTTTTAGGAGTTTTCAAGACATCGGCTAATTCCTTTCATCTGTATCTTTCCCAAGAGAGGGATGGTCCACTGAGGAAGCGATGGGAATGTAGCAAGGGAGATGCCATAGTAAATCCTAAATCCTAACAACCACAAGAAAGCCTTGCCAACAATCCACTGAAAAGACTGAGGGGTGAAGAGTGGCAATGTTCACGTGCCTACAGACCTTCGAACCTCACCCACTGTTTAGAAACATTAATTTGTACAGTTCAGGTAAATATCATCCTTGATCTACTTCCTTTCAACCGCAAGAAGAAATAGTAATAGGACCTTTCAATTCCACTCTTAAAAACAATAAAGAATAGCTTATTTGATGAAACAATAATTACATACATGCTTCCTTTAAGGCCATTTGTCCATCTAAAGCCATTTACAAAAAAGTTTGTTCACGTTATCTTGTACTGACACCACCGTAATTTATTCAGCTGTAACAGTATTAGACTTTCAAAGGTCAAGACTAACCAAGATTAAGATTCAGAATGCTTCCTGGAGTGGAAGTTCTTTCTTGCTTAGCAGAAATTGGTGTTGAAGCTTGAGGAGAGAAAGGTTTGGGGCTGCCTGACAAGCTCCCTGCTTGACCCGTTCTTGTTGGTGCTGGAGAAGCTGAAAAAGCACAAAATTAATAAAGACAGATTTAAAAATAATCAGAATAAAGCCACCTTCACTGGGACAAAACAGCTTTTAACCCTGTAACAGCAGGGAAAAGATTTATTTAATAGTTTCAACTTTGTATTACACCTCTCTTACAAACTACAATTATTGCTTTAATATTAGTTTAATAAAAAAGAAATTGTACTGAAAATAATTTCATTGCAGCTGTTCTGTCAGGCCAAATGTGCATTTACCCTCAAAAATACTCTGTTTTAAGTCACTCAAGGGTTTCTAGACTTCAAGACTTGGTTATTTTAAATGTTAATAAAGTCTTGACACTCTGAATTGGCACCTTTTTATTTCATGCACGCAGGTAAGCATTAAAAAGACCACCTACCCCAGTTTCTAGATACTTTAACAGAGAATTAAAAGCACAAATCACAGTAAGTTTAATGAGAGCAGCTCGAGATCAGTGACCAAATCTCTCAGATACAGTAACAAGATATTCCTATATATACACAGTATAAGCAAAATCCTATGCTTTAAGTCTTCGGAATATCCATGAAGTAATGGCTCAAAACCATAAAACTTCTAGTAGAAACAGCCAGACAGTTTATAAAAGGAAGCATCTGTAGGCTGCTACCTAAATAAGTAAATAAATAAACAAACCACTCTTTTCTGCCAGCAAGTCTCATTTCTGTCCATTTAATCTCTGCCTAATGCTTTGAATATGTAATCTTAAACTCACTGTTGAACTCTTGTTCTTTCCCAGCACATAAAACGTTGCCTATATGTTTTCAGATTCCTAAAAGGTAGCTATGTCCACTGTTTCAGTAACTATTTCCAAGTTATTTTCTTCCTTTCACTCACGATACACAACAAAGGTCAAAACCTATCAATGGCATCCAAATACAAACATTCCTGTTGAAGCATAGGGCAGTGATACTACTTCAACTTTTTTTATAGCCAACAAATAACTTAATTTAAATTCTTCTCAAAACATACAGATTCTACATGATGTAAACATTACAAAAGTTAGTGTTTATAACAATATTCAGGTAGAAATGCCAGGTGAGAAACTGAATATACTAGTTAACTGCTGTCAAGCCAAATTCAGGACTTTTATGTACTATAGGAAAGGGTCAGCAGGGCCTCACAAAAAGTTAGAAAAAATCCCTAGAATTACTGTAATAGTCAAGAAGCTAAAGATTAGGGTAATATCTACCATCTTCTTTTATCTTTATCTGACAAAACAGCTTTAATATGACTTTCCATGATTATCTCCACTATTACAAAGAAATAATAACGTGGTATAATAAAAGCCTTACATTTTAAGACAAACAAATCTGGCAGCTACACCTTTTGTATGGAAGCTGTATACAAATATGTTCACGATAATTTATGTATAAAATGATTTAACTTGGAAGAGTTTCTCCTGGAGTCAGCTAATAAGTCAAACTGATTTAAGTCTAGAGATTTTCTGAGATTTGCTTTCCTTTGTTACATGAAAACTTTGATAGTGAATTACTCCTATTCACTTGGCATTCTCTACTAACAAATCCATGTATTTTGCTACATTCAAATTCCTTACAGTTACCTTATCATCACTTTCATAAGAGGGATAGAAAGCTGTGAACGCAAATTTCATATCACAAGATACTTTTTGTACCCGAAGTTAGTTTCATGTCCTATCCTTTATTGGGTAGGAAGAGTAAGATTCCTAAATGGCTACTTGTCAGGGCTGAAGTACACTCTTTTTGTTTCTTGTAGGGCTACTGTCCGTCTTGATTTTCATGTTTGTCTGCTTCTTTTTAAGACATTATTAAATAACACTGCTGAACAAAGGAATAAGCATTATAGTTTTATTACAATTATTTTTTTAAAACGTTAAACTTACCAAAGGCATGTATGGCATGCTGTATCTTGGCACTGATATCTCTAGCTCCAATACTGATCTCAAAAGCAAAAATTCATTAGATCTCAAGCTTACTTTTCCTGGTCCTGATTCCTCCTTTCATATGTACCCATAACTAGTAACACAGGACTAAAAAAAAAAGTGTACATTACTGGTGCCCCAATACAGAAAACTGAGTAACTTAGCCCATATTGCTGCTGTTCACCAAAACCTCCCTAAAAGGTAATTCCACTAGTTTGAAGGAATCTTCGACACCTTCCACAGAGGTTACTGTAATACTAAACTGTCTAAAACAAAAAGCTAGGAGGGAAAAAAAAGACTTCTCTCAAAATTCATGCAAATAAAAGGAAAAAATACATATATATCATGGCTTTTTCTAAACCTAATTCTTCTTTTTGCTTACAATTTTAAATATAACAACATGAAATAAATTCTATGATATTGTCCACATCAAAGCTTAATTTAAGAAACTTGTGCTCGCTGTCACGCAACTTGAACTAGTTTTTTCCAGGCTCCAGATTTTTATATACATTCATGTATCTTTTATATGTAGTTGTAAAAAATTTTCTCTGTTCTTTCAGCTCTCAAGGTCAAGAAGTTTCCGCTTCCAAAAGGTTTCAGTTTCCACTGAAATTTCACCTATTTATATGCCCATATCTAAAACTACTCTTTGAAAAGAAACTCTGAAAAACTGGGCTCTGCCAAAAACCGTACCAAAACCATTGGTCACATTGGAAAATTTCAGTCATTCAAAAAAATGCAACAAAAAAGTTGAAAAATTGTAAGTTTAGTTTGAAACAATTATTTACAAGTAAACTATTAGGCCAGATTAGTAAAAGTTTATCTTCAATCAATTTTTAAAAATTACCAAAAAAAAAAAAAACCCCACAGTATTTTCTCTAAAAACGGCAACTCACAACAGACTGATTTAGCTTTCTTTACAAAGAAATCCTTTTATCCAAAACTGAAGTCTTATGAACAGTCTTACTAATTAATACATCACACCATTTCTTTCACATATTGATGGTTGTTATTTTATGGATGACATATATAAGGCCCATTTAGATAAAGAGGTTTGGCTGAGTGTCACAAAATTAGTCAGCAGTTGATCTGGGACTACACTGGAAGTCTGTGATGTCCAAATTCTGTGTTCTTTAGTCCTTTTTCCTTTTTACCCACTGTGCCTATCGCAAGTGTAGTTTTACCATATTTTAGCACTCAGTACTCAATGGGGGAACACTGTGAGTGAACTAAGCTCACTGCCTTGAGCAACGGCTATCAAATTTTAAATAGAATATTCCTAATCATGGCATTTTTAATATCTATTTCCACCCTCCATTCACTTTGACAGTTACAACTATTTCCTGCCATTTAAACTGAAGGTTTTTGGTCACTTTCAAGATGATTTATTCCTTCTCAGGGCAACAAAAAGGACTGTTATTTCTTATGTACGAAATTGAAAGTTCAGTTCTTTTTTTTTTTTTTAATAAAATTTCTTTATAAAATGATTAATAACTTCTGTCTTTGAAAAGCACATTTAATAAAACTAGTGCGTTAACCAAATGCAGTCACGTCTCCTCATTTTTTTTACCTGTGTTTTTGTCAATAAAGTCCATGGATTCTTCACTTGCGCTAAAGTGACTGGAAGTTGCTTTTTTTTCCGCATCCTGTTCAACATCAGATCCAGTGTGGACTGATGAGTTTGTACTCATTGGTGACCGTGGCATATCTGTCAGTGAAATCCTACGACCTGTGCTACTGCTCAGCATAGGCTTGCTCATTAGAATCTTCGGTGATGCTGTCATATCAAAGTTCAGTTTGATTTTCTCTTGTTTGTCTGTCTTTGCAGTTCCAGCAGTTGGGTTTGCAGGGTCTAATAACATTTGGTATTGATTGTTGGGAGTATATGGTGTCCGGAAAGGTGCGTAGTTAAATACCCCAAACTTTCTACGAATGTTATCAACATAAACCTCCATCTCTTGCATTGCACTGTTGAAGATGCTTTTAGTCTTTTTCACAGAAAAAGGAATTTCTTTAGACATGAGGTAGCAATTATTTATTGGAACCCAGGCCCTATACATGAAACAGAAAGATAATCAAATTTAATATTGAGGATTTGACATTGGCAACTTTTCTGCACCAACCAATTCATTTTATTCTAACCCTAAGGATATGCACACATCAGATACTTTCAAAGGACCATGTCCACTTTCCTTTTCTTCTAATAATTCATTGCTTAGCCTTGGTAAATAAGTAAACTGCACGTCTTAGACTACCACTAGTTTATTTCTTCTACTCCAGTAACACATGCAACACAAATGAACACTGGTCAAAAATGACAAGACATTTCTAAACAGAGTATTCCATATAACTGCAAGAAGACCACTACTAAACGATCTTTTGATCAAGATGTCATAGCTAGCAGAGAAACAGAAAAAGCAGGTTAAAAAGCCAAGACGTCCCAAGCATAACACATTCTTAAAAACATGTAAACATTTTAAAAGGTAAAAAAATGTAGAAATTTTATTTTTACACCCCATGCCAGGGTGATCAAACTCCACAATACTAGGAAAAATTTTATCGGCAAGTTTTGCACAGATTTCATTTATTTTTCAGCCACAGTCTAAAACCTTGCCTTCCAAAATAAGAAAATTCCAGGAACTTTGACCTAAATATATCATGGCCATACACAGTTTTAAAGTTTAAAGTTTTAGTGTTTTAATAACTATATAGATTCATATTTTCAATTAATGATAAATGAACTAGTTTTTTCCATGGCTACCTCCATCTAAGCAGAAGGTTGACAAGTATAAAAAAAAAAACAAACTCCTTCCTAGAGCAAAACTAGCATTTGCAACATTTTATATTTCTATTTCTTTTTTAAAATATACAACAGTGTATTTACTCCCATAGTGCTTAGATAACGTACACGACACTTTTACTGGCCTCTTTCACCTTTAAGAACTACAATTCTTTGCAGTACAAAACCATAGTCACAGGAAATAATTTGCATATTGATTGAATGTTTAAATATATACATATTCTAAAGTATTATACAGTTTATTAGGGTCAAGCTTCAAAAGACAGGACAGCAGAAACACTGAGAGTACAGAATTACAACAACAATTTCTTAAGCACAGCCGAAGATATCCTTTGATCAAATTCCTACCTGTCATGTTGGCCAAAGAAACGGGCATCAACTTGCCCATCTTTATCCCTCAGTGCTTTAGCAGGCCAGAATGGAAAGCCTTTGAGTTTAGCCCAGACCAAAGGGTGAGGATTGCTCTAGAGGAAGAGGCAAAACGCAGAGTAAGAAAATATAAACAGTTTTACCTTCAAAATCAGGTACCCAACACATTTTTAAAAATTGTATGTATGTATTAGATTCGATCAAGACAACGCATGCAAAGGCATTTGCCAAATACAAGATACCATTTTAATACATACTTTATATATAAACAGAGAAAAAAAAAAAAATTACACACAATATCTTAAGTATCTCAAACAAACACTCTAAACACCCTAGCCCTAATAAACACCCTAATGGCACTTTTTAGTTTATTTTTACTTAGTCCCTTCCAAATATTTGTTTAACATAACCTAAAATTTAGGCCTAATCTTTCAAAATCTCTAATTTCCACTTAAGTACAAGAGATGATTTGATGCATTACATGCTTCCACTTAAGAATCCTAAGAAACCTTTCCAAGCCTGGTAAAACATTAAAAATAGACCACCTATTAATACATCATAAAACAAAATCCAGTCTAAATTCTCAGATCCATGCCTACAGAAACTGACATTCACATTTCAAAAATCTCATCCTAAGTACCATATGCAAATATAGGAGTATATATTATATTTGAGGACAGAGAAACTGACAACTGGCTGTTGACACCCTCTGCAAACAGTTATTTCCGACTGAATCAATCGCTTTGTGAAAGCAAGTAGTCTGACACCTAAATTTGTTGATATCATCCACAAAGTGAACGATTTGCCATCACTTTGTAAGCTAGAGCAGCTTTCCTTGACTCAGTAACCAGCAGAGGTTTTGCAACAACGGAGGAATAACAAACAAGAGTGAAATGGAAGTTTTAGTTTAATGCATTAGCTAGACTAGCATAGTCTTTAACTTACACAAGGCTCACAAAACCAATTCTCTCTTTTTTGGCAAGCAGCTAAATAACATTCCGGACATACTTCAATTTCATTCATCTGAAAAGAAAAAGCAGTTATTGAAGAGTTTACACATAATCGAAGGTATGATGAATAAGTATTATTATGGTAGTCTGTCCAGATTACTAACATCAATTTTCCACAAACTGATGGTCATAAATTGACCTGTACAGATTTTTACTTCCTGTGAAAGCAACAGGGTTTTGAGTGACATCAATCTTTTTCTACTCTAGCTGCACATTCCGGTTAATAAATCAGTTGCATTTTTACATCTCTCTTCAGACTATATTCTACCATTTACTCCAGTGATAAAAATACATCCTTTGATGTTGTGTTTATTCCAGAGACAAAAACAGAACCTCAGAGTGGGCATTTAATTTCATAAAAATTTGTGCAGAATCAAAAATATTTTATTCTTCATACTCATATTATATGAACTAGTTCAGAAATTGAGTTCCAGTTAAATATACTTAATTTCTACTGTTAAAAACTGATATATCCTCAGATTCATGTGAATCATGGATATTTCTGTCAACCGGGGGTCAGGAAAGCATTTGGCCTCAATAAAAAGGGCTAGATCATCAGATAAATCATATCAATGAAATATAGTTCAAAAATGCTACATTTAGAATAGCAATTTTTTTGTAATAGGAAACATTACGGATTGTCACTGAAATAAAATCAGTGCAAATTATCAGTTAAAAATGGATGCAGTCATTTGGGTATTCATTTACACTTTGCATATTGTTACAGCAAATGAACCACCAAAAATGCATCTATGAACCGGAAGATCTCAGTCTCTTCTTCCAGGTCCACATATTCATTTAGCAGGTAGGTGTATTGCTCCAGGACCATGTCTCCTTTCCCTTTTTTCCCCTCACTGAAAGTCTGAATTACACATAGCGAGTATTCTAATGGAAGACAAATTAGCAATGCCCTTGCCAAAATCATTCTGACGGCCCTAAGTATGCACATCTAAACGTAAGAAAGACTACAAAGACTGTATTTATATAATGCACGTTATAAAGCATTTAATATTTTACTCAAATATCTGAAATAGAATTAATGATTTAAAAATACAGACAGAACAATTAAGTTAACTGGGATACACATACCTCATGCTCACAGATTTTGATGATGACTTTTGCTGTTTGTGTCAATTTGTGATTTCCTGAGGGCACAATAAAGAAAACGCTTTAATCAAGAAAACTGTCATATTAAAATTAAAATAAAAACAACAGATATTGTTTGAAAAGAAATTTAGGTTAAAGACAAAAGAGAACATCTGAAAAGACAATTTAAAAACAACTACGTATAAAAGTAGTGGGTAGGTCTGTCCACACAAGCGTAACACAGTAACTACTCTTCAAATGTTACTTTCCAAGTCTATTGCAGCCTGCTCACCACTGATTTACTCAAGTGACCAGCATGTTGTATCATTCATTTCCTCAGTTAAGTTTCCTATAAAGGATGGCACCATGCAAAATACTAACACATACCTCCTATTTGAAAATTTTTAAGGTGGAATGAGCAAGTGTCAGCACAGACAATATTTGGTCCTAGAGTTATATAGTTAGTTATAGAGTTATATGCTTCGGTGCTACAGTAATTAACAGGAAGACACTTTCAGTCAACTGGAAATCTACAAATTGATCTATGACTGTATTCACTCTGAAGTTTTCTCTTCTAGGAAATAAGCAGATATCAATATTTACCCCCATTGTAAATAATGCAGTTGTGCAAAATCCATTTGGCATCAGCCAAAAATGCTTCAGTGCAACCGTACATTTTCTTTTTAACATTCTGGAAAGAAAAATTTAAGAATACGTCAGGAACCAGAAATGAATTAAAAGTGACATCCTCTTCCTAAACAGTTTTCCCTATCAATTATACTATCAATGTGATTACTTATGTTTGGTAAGACTTACGATTCTAAATACTGAAGAATCTGTCCAATTCAGCCTACCTTTTGACTATCCTAAAACTATAGGAACTGTCTAAGTGAATTCCAAATAATGAATTATTTAAATCAGTATCTTAAACTTTCCAAAAATATGTTAATTTCCTGAAGCAGTGTTCTGCTCAATGTCTCTGTAGGAAATTGAGTACCTGATTTCTTCTACTGGTGTATTACCGCTCCATGGCATTTGTATTTTTTCATTTTTCTAAGACCCAGACAAAATTATAGGTCATATTACATGACAGTAGGCTTGATTTTCCAGTCTACCCACTGGGTAATGTAGCTTCATGCAGACAAAATTAGTAAAATTGGCTACACCTTTATACCATAAAGACGTCAACCTCCACTGTACGGGCAGGGTGAATGAAAACTCTTAGTGTCTCTTCACCTTTTTACCAGGTCCTAGCAGAAGAAAACTCTGCAAAGCTCTTCATTAAAGCAGGGGAAAATGGAGAACTTTTTCATAATTTGAAACTTTTAATGTATTATTAGACTGAGAATCAAACTCCTATACGTCAACCTCTTGACTGTTTCCTTTTTCTCCCATGCCTCAGGGCACAGAGGAGATTACAGTATTTGCTGAATGATCAGTAAAATGAGCCTGGGCTGGTCCCTGCATACATACACTCAAATGGTCCCAAGGCAAATTAATGGAACGATGATCCACTGATAGCTAGTAAACACCATGGTCACATGCAAACTCTAGTTAATGAGGTCTCCTCACACAACGATTCCTGGAATCAGATGGGTTTATATAGGTAGAGATCATCAGTGTAAGTTCATCTGCTTTCATATTATTTTTACTGAGCCTTTGCTACCAGTTCAGACAAAATCATGGACTCGCTCAGTTAGCATACGATTGTTTTTAAGCTGTAATAGAACTAACATCTGCAATAACAAAAAATAGTATCAAAATAATTTCAAACAGTATCTCTCCCCTTCCCACCAAACACCCCAGAAACCTGAACAGCAGCAATTAAATTCAAGGAATCTCCATCCTTTGGCTTCATGCTAACCTTTTCTAATGTACAAAGGTCCATTGGATGAAAGATATATTCTGCATAATCTGGGTGCTGATCCAGTGAAACTGGCTTTTGAAATGGCTCTGTCTGTTTGGAAAAAAAAAAAAACAAACTGTTTATTAATACTGAACTGCTTCACCAATCATGTGGTAGTGATTCTTCTTTTAATACTACTTCCAATTGGGATGTCAGAGAAAATTCTTTGAAGATAATTACAAAATTTGGTGAACTAATAAGAGAGGAAAAAATGCAGGCAGAACAAGAGGAACTAAACAGTCTCATTTAACAGTTTTTTATATATATATATATATATATATATATATACACATATAGAATGTAAAGAATTACAAAGTTTGGATTTTTGGAAAATCATCTGCAGGTGAGGGAGTATCAAACCACACAACAGTTGAGGTTGGAAGGGACCTCTGGAGATCATCTGGTCCAATCTCTCTGCCCAAGCTAGGTCAGCTAGAGCCAAGTTTTCCAGGACTTTATCCAATTGCGTTCTGAGTATCTCCACAGATAGAGACTCCACCACCTCTGTGGGCAACCTGTTCCAGTGTTCAACTGCTTGCAGTGCAGTTCACCACCAGCAAAGAAGCTTCTTCTTATGTTCAGATGGAATTTCCTCTGTTTCAGTTTGTGCCCGTTGCCTCTTGTCCTTTCACTGGGCACCCCTGAAAAGAGTCTGCCTCTGTCTTCTTTACACTCCCTCCCCAGATATTTTTAAACATTGATAAGATCCCCCCTGAAACTTCTCTTCACCAGGCTAAACAGCTCTCTGCCTCTCTTTATATGACAGATGCTTCAGTTCCTTAATCATCTTTGCAGCTCTAAGAGACTTGAAAGATTTTAGCACAATGAAAATACCTTTAAAAATCTCCTATTAACTAGGTCCACAAAACCTCTTTCTCAGATTCTCATTAGAATCATAACTTTTATAACAATAACACAAACTTAGTAATACAGACATGTGCAAACTTTTATCTGTGGGGCTCTACATTTTATTTGCTTACGTGGCGGGGACTGCAGTTTTCGGAAGATAATCAATTAAAGTACTCTGGCACCAAAACAACAGATTATTAATTAAGTGCCTAAAGGGCAAAAATTCTTAATAACATTCATTAAACATTATCTTTCTAATTGCATTTTCAAAACATCTCTATTGGGAATTCAATACAAACTAACATTGACACTTTGCTTCTGAAAAGCAGCACTTAAAATTTCTAATGGCTCATTCTAAAAGCATAGTATTTACCACCCCACAGTAAAAGAATTCCAAGCGCCAAAATTTGTCAGTACTTAAAGAGTATCCTTCCCCCAAACTGCCACTATTGTTCTGCTAAAATACTTATCATAAGAGAGATCAGAGTTGCAAAGAGCCCACAAGTCTGCACATCTGATTCCTCCTCCCCTGCCCCCAACATCTTTTACACTGCAGGCACAGAGACACTGCCTTTGCTCCTCTAACTTGAACAAGAGCGCAAGTTAACAAGAGTTAAGAGAACTCTTTAAGAGAACTCTTGGCAATTCATCAAAAGGACATCTTTCTTTACTTTTTTCTTCACGCATGAAAACTCGATAAAGCTTCCACAGTGAAGAATGGGGGAGGGGAACAGTTGAAATGCAGAGGCACGGTGATTTTGAGGAATAAATCTAAGACAGATATGAGGAGAAAGGTAAAAGTCGGGTGAAAAGCTTAAGTCAGTTTTGACCCTGTGATAAAAATTCATAGATCAGCAACCTTATATTGCATGAAAGCTGATGGCACAGGTCTTCGGCACATCAAGGAAAATTTCTTCACTGTTTCACAAGTATATTCACAAGTACTTCTCAAGTGTATTGTAACTTCTGTGATAAGCACAACTTCTACTGACAAACAGAAGCCAGGTTTTCAACTGGTATAACCAACAACATGGCAATGTCTGTGCCTAATCTTCTTGCCCATGTAACCAGACTGGTAAGAGGTCATGCCTTCCAGTTCCCCTGAAAGCTATGCCAACAGCCCCTTGTATCAGAGCGATGGCCTTGTCCCCTTTCGGCGAGTGAGAGAAAATAAGTCCCACTGGAAAGGCACATTCTATTTTCACTAGACTTACTGAAATATTAATTTAACTCCTTCAATTGTCAGTTAATTCCAATAGCTTTTATAGGAACACTACAGGGAAAGATCTCAACTTCTGTTGCCTCGGATGCATACTGACATTAACACCTACTTCCTGTGTAACCATAAGCAAATTACTTAATCTCTCGGTGTCAGTTTTTTCCATTAGAAAAAGAGGAGGACGTGTAAGAACATCTAAGAACAATCTAAATTGTGAGGACAAATCTGTTCATACCTTAACATAGACAGACACTATTTGGAACCTCAGGGGAAGAGTGTAAGCAGAATAAACAAAAGAGCCATACTGATACTGCAAAGATAAGCCAAATCAGATCATAAACATTCTCCGTAAGTTGCATCAAAAAACTACATTTTATACTACAGTATATATAGTACTAATAGTACTACAGTATATGTAGTCTAAACTAATCTGTCTGTACCAGACAGGTGGCAAGCAACACAGCCCGCTGATTACAATCTGATAAAGTAACCGAGGATGGTGGCCCACAAAACAGAGCAGAACCCAGTATCATGAAATTCAAATCTAAACCAAAAAAAAAAAAGAAAGAAAAAGAAAATTCTCCTTACCCCTGGCTGTTTCATTTTCTGTAGTGCAAACTTCAGTAAATATGATAGCTGTTCAATGGTGAGCATTGTCATAGCTTTACTCTGTGTTTCTATGCATTCTGCTACAGTGATTTTCTAAAAATTAAGATTATAAAATATTTTATTAGCAAACATTTCTAGGTGAATTCTTCTCCATTAAAACATTCCAGTATTATTCAAATGGAAGATAATAACTATCTCATAAGAAACACAACATTTCTGATGATGCAGTGTAAATACTTCAGATATGGTTTTTATTCAGCTTCAATTCTGGTTATGTTAGCTCCCCCCCCCCCCCCCAAAAAAAAAAAAAGGAAAAAAGAAAAAGAGAGCAAAAAGTAAAAGAAAAAGGAAAACTACATTCATCTTCTAGATCACGCAAAGTGAATGTGTGAAATATAAAAAAAATTCCCAAATGCAATGCAGGTTCACAGCAATGTGAAGGACTTAGAAAGTCACCTGAGCTTTAATACAATAAATGGTCGAAGAAAAATGTGTGATTAACTGATGTTACTTTTATTAAGGATACTATGGTCCTAAGTATTCTTTCCCCAAGAATCACTGGAGATGAATGGTTAAATTCTCCCTTAGCCCTACAGAAAACAACAGTAATAATATCCACTTGTCTAGGTATAACCTACAGCGCAAATTTTTCGTGCACTGTTGCAGAATTGATCAGTTCATTAGAAAAAGCATAAACTAAACTACTCAAAACCTCAGAATGTTTTCAGAATTAGAGGTGCCTGAGGAAGGGATGACCCTCTGGAATGGTGCCTTTTGTAGAGATGGGAATAAAAACAAATGCGAAGATTCATGGTAAGAAGGCAAAACCAATCCAGGCAGGCGTGCATGCACGTGTCTGTACATACAGTAGTGAGGTAGCTTTCTGGTACAAATCTTTTTTGTTCCTTTTTCAAAAGGTAATTATAAGAATAAAACAGAAAAATTTGAGAGTTTAAAAAAAGCTGCTTAAATCTCATGAACAAAAAGGGAAATCACTCCTTATCTCAAACTAACCTCACATTCTGGGCAAAACCAATCCCCCTCTGGTTCCGCTGTCAGTTTCAGACACTTAGCATGATAAACCCGAGGACAGAGTTCACAGCAGAGGACTTGGCCTTCCCGATGACAAACCCAGCAATAGAAATCATTCCGTCCATCCTGTGGTACAACATCAACAGGGTCTGTGGTGAGTGGCTGCTTCATATAGTAAAACGGACCATGTCTTAGTTCTGACTGAAATGTAGGCAAGAAAAACAGGTTTGGTTTCAAAACAAATTTGCATTTCCAAATAATATTCATAATATATAAACAAACAGCAGTTTACAGAGCTTAATTAACATTTATGCAGGTACAAAATCTTATTCATTTCACAAAATCATTCATGAAGAGGTTTATTTCATATTCAGGTGCCAAACGCTCGCTTAAATTAAAGACTGAAAATGACTTTGTGACAAGCGAGGGCATCAAGTGCAATCTAAAAAAAAAGGGTCAGTAGACGCTTTGAAAGGCAAGCCTAGCTTTTAGAAGCTAGAGGTCCCAAAATTCTCAATTCCATGGGGCTTTGCAAGCTGAATACTGCAAGATACTTTGCGGTGGCTAAACCTGAGATAACTGAAGAAGCTAGTCAGTCCTCAAATAAGAAGTTGAGCAACATGCAAATCCGACCTAAACTGCAGCAATTTACAACCTTGCACAATGAGGCAAGCCAGTGCTGATTTTGGTTAATAAGGCAATCTGTAAACTAGGATAACACAGGAGCAGAATAACACCCTGTTCAGCCATCTCTGCCTCAGACACAGGAACCCTGGGAAAGATTTAATTCACATGTAAATGTGTATCAGAATTTAAGACTCTCAACTACCAGAATTTAAAACTCTCAACTACCACAGCTTTGCCTGCACTGGAAAACAGTGTTAAGGTCGAAAAATCTGCATGAACTAGCCTCTCACTTGAGCCCAGAACAGCTCAAAGGATGACACAGCTTATGTTAAAAAAATAAGAAGCAAAGAGTATGGGATAGCCAAAATGGGTCACCAGATACCTAAAGTTCATTAAATGAGATTTGAAGAGCTGCTAACGTTTCTTGGAAAATTGTGGTAAGGGCGGGGGGGGGGAGAGGAGGGAATGCAGGGATACAACATCATATTTGTAAATGACAAGGGAACTTAGTTTTCTTTTTGGTATTAATTATAGGGATGGTCTGCTGACGAGGGCAAGGTGGGAAAATCCTGAGTTTTAGGCAAAGTTTGTTCACTGTTATTTTTTGTTTGATATAAACACATATGCTCATGGCACAACCCTTAACTATTGAACTGACTGCTTGTAGTTTGCAGAACTATTCTGTTTTGTTCACTGGTGATTTTGCATGCTTCCTACGCCATTTATGCATTTGCAGGCTCTTAGACCCTTGAACTGTCACTTGCCCACGTGACCCCAGAGAACAGCGCAACGATATGCATGCTCTGTACCTCTGCAGCATCCCGTACAAAACTAGTCACACAGGACATAATTAAAGTCATCAGAAACCACCATCCAACCAGCTTGACCTGTCGTCTTTTTAGATTTCTAACGTTACAAAGGACAAGGCCTTTCAGTAGGAAGGTTCGGTAAGATCCCGTGGATGGGCAGCATAAGGCCTTATCCACATTTCCAATTTATTAATATTTCAGTCATTAAAACCTAGATACAAAGGCATAGATAAACCCAAAGTAAAGACCGGAAAGTTGCAATTCAGAGTGAAGCAGCATGTTATGCTTGCAGTTATATGCACCACAGGTGTGAAACCAGTATCTCAACAGGTCATACTTGGAGATGCAGCTATGGGGCATTGTCATCAATTGCAGACAAAGCAAATTACCAAGAGAATTTAATATGTATTCTGACTTTGATGTGCGTATAAGCAGTAAGCCCACATGAACTTCCTAATAATCAAAGATCTTGTTTTAAAACAAATATCCTATAAATCTATTACACAGAAACGAGCATCATTATTTCCAAATAGACTAGAAGTCTGTACTTCCTAGAAGATGAGAGGAATTAAATTTCTGTTCGAGGATGAGCACATCTTTTAGATATCTATCACCTTAATTCAAGTTTAAGGACAAAACACAGGGTTAGAAACGAGACTCAAGAAAGATCCAAACAACAAAACTGAAGGACTGAAAACGAATGACTCAGCTGCTCTAATCAGCTTGTTCTAATCAGAGTAAAATGTTTGAAGAGTTTAAAAGTTATTGAAGGAAAGCTTTTTTTCCTCTCAACATTTTAACAACTAGCTGCTTCAAGCTAAAATAGCTGGTAGCTTGTTTTTAAGTCTTCATTAAAGTTATTAAGACCTTTATAATAAACAAAAAAATTGAAGAAAAACACAACAGTATTGTAGTATTATTTTGGAAGAAAAATACTACTTTTATGCATTCCAAATTAATATTGAAGCTAGGTAGGAAAACAAGCTGCCAACTTCAAATACATGATAACTGACCAATTAAGAGCCAGATTTTCCTGATTTTTTAACCTTTCTTAGCTAAATTCTTCAATCTATAACTCTTCACTTGTATTTAAACACTCTAAATACCTGTTGGCACTGTTCTGAAGATCTTTTCCTGCAACTATGATTTTAGTTGACTGTATCTTGAAACACTCACACTTACTAATGTGGAATAGTATGGTAGAGCTTTTTAGTGATGCCGAAGCTTTTTAGTGATCCATGTCAAAATGGATTTATCAGCCAATGAGAATCATAGCTAACGGCCACATTATATCCGAAACCTAATTTGACAGCAAAGCAATTAACTCTATGCTTAGCTCGCATCTGTTCAGCAGTAAAAGGACCTCTACACATCAGTCTACACATCTGTCTTTATAGCAACGCCTGCTACCACAAAGAGTGGAGTTTTGCACCTGCTTTAGAAACAATCGTCTCCAGGCATGCCCAATTCAAAATTGACCAGATATGCAAGATGATATCTAAATTAAAAGCAACTTTTGAAAGCTAGACAAAACAAAACACAATATTCTTAATTGTTAACTTATGATAAATATGGAAAAATAAATGTCTGTTTGCTTTTTGTCATTAGATATACAATTTTATTCTATCCTATACAATCTCAAATCTGAGAGACCTGAAAATCAGAAAAGGATTTACTGAGGGGAATGTATTACGTTTCAATACCTCCAACTGTGATTTTGCATGTATTTTTAAATGCATGAACAAACACTGGAAATTTGCACCTGAGATTCAATACCACTGTTCATATAATTATCTCTACACTGCACAGTTGAAAGCTTAGACTTTCAGCAGGGCACCATCCCCCCAGTAAACATCCAGGATGAAGAGTTTATACAGCCTGCAATGAAGCTCAGGAAAATCCAGACCCATTGAACTAGTTCACTACACATGCTATTACTAGACCTCTCTATTATCCTTAAATAAAACACTCTTGACACTGAAAGTTCTCTGGTAAGGTCTGATCTATTCATGGCCTTTGTTCCGGAATAACTATAGTGATTAGGAATCTCATTTTCTTTTTTAACCAGTACAATTGTACCCAAATAACATTTAACATGGAAGCTATTATAATAGGAATAGAAGCCTTAAGCCCAGAGAACTTAATCCTGCGTTTATATGACACTTGCAAAATTCATTGTTTTAGAGCACAAAAGCACTTCAAACAACACACAGGCATGTCATCTATAAATCAGATTAAGAATAATTTCAGCAGGGCTAAAAATTGCTTTCATGTAACCTCCTCTGGGATGACCTAGATGCTTTTCAGCAATCACTACTCAACACAATTCATAAAATCTTTTCACCCTCATCATACAACGAATCAGCAATTTTCAAGATCTTCTGGAGTCAACTTCTAAGAGCTACAACAAATGCTATAAATTCAGTACTCAGAAGACACTGAAAATAATAGTTTCAGACATAAAGAGTGTAAAAAAAACCACTAGTGCAATCTCTGATTCAACTACTTTGGTAGCAGCAGCAATTTTGAGGAAGGGGAAGAAAATTGACAGAGTATCAAGGGAGCAGCTAGACTTTTGTTAATAATTTGCAATAGGAATTACAGTAGATAAGAGGCTTCCCCTCTCATGACCATATCTTTCTTAATCCGAGATATCGTATCACTGAATGTTTCCTTAGTAATAGCTTTAATTAATAACAGCTCTTAAAAGTAAAATTATACACGTAGTCCTTAATAATCTCTTTGCTAAAAAATCCATTTCCTGGTCATAGGTCTTTTATTAGCTTTATGAAATAAATAAAAAAGGACACAGGTACTCTTTCTCCTATAGAACTAAAAAAAAAAAAAACCCAAACCCAACTTATAATGTCAACTCTTACAGTCACTGCATTCAGTAAAGAATACCTACTTCTTATAGTAGGAACATGGAGCTTACTAAACAAGAAAGAGCTCCTGATCAGCTAGCTGTCTCTATATCCTTATCACACATCCTAGCATATCAAGACCATGACTTCTTTTACCTGCTCTTTGTTATTACTGTTCAATAGACCAGGTTTCTTTTTCTTTTTTATAGGACTCGTTGATGCATCTTGTGGGGAGTGGCCATTGGAAGAATGTGGAGGGCTGGGAAACTTCCTTTTTTGTGCTGTGCGTTCAGCAGAGCCAGGATCTGTAACAGATACAAACAACACAGTTAAACGAGTCCATAAAACAATTCCTAAATTATTCAATGAAAAACATTCAACCAAATTTATGGTTTGTCGTTCACACTCCTTCACTAAACAGACTACAAATTCTCAATTGCCTTTTACCCAGTTACTCACAAAACGGGAAGCAGTGGGTTGGCTATGCAATGCTACACCTCCTACTATGTAAATTCTCTACAGTCATTCAGATTAAGATGAAATATCTTTTCTTTTCTCAACGAATTCTGCCTATTAATCTCATCTTAAATTTTAGTGTCTTTAAAAATATATCAACTATTAAATTCTGTAGTTAAGCAGAGCACCCTTCCATGCTAATTTATACCCTTTAAAAGCAAAGAAATAACATTAACAATTCCGGACAGTTTCAGCTCATGTATTTAGGAACGTAAGCAACAGAAGTTAAAACGTAGTAAATGATGAGGCCACACTTTCTCTTTCCTATATTTAAATAAATCTACTGAAATGTTAATAGAAAAACTGAAATTGTCCTATACTCCTAAAATAAATGTGCTACCTCAAGTATTCAGCCTGCTTATTGGATTGTAAAAAGATAAAATTAAGATTGCAAGACTCCCACTCAACTTTGTCTACATCTTAAATCACCATGCTTACATCTGTCAGAGCTCATCTGCCACACCGCTAAGCAGCATATTCGTTATTGAGCTTCAGAATTGAGTTGCTCAATTAAGAGCAACTGCTCTAACCACCTGATCCAGTTCCTGAAAAGTTCATGCTGCAGAAGCTCACTTTCAAGTGGCTCTGAACCGCGTTTTTTTGAAACATGCACAAAATTTAAGACAATTAGAAGGAATCTGAGAGGCAGCTCTACCGGTTTGTCCCAATGAGTATCTATCACATTAATTTTCACATCTGCTTCACTCCTTCAACTATGCTAAATAATTGAGTTCTTCAAAGATTTTGAATCGATCTTTATCTGGTCACTGTCTTGTTTTCATTAGAATACTTAGGAGGAATTATTTACAGGCTTAGAAGAGTTAATACACTTGAAAAAGTCACCGACAAGCCTATCAGAAATAGCCTAGGTAAAAACATGAGCATTTGCAACTTCATTTCCTCAGAACAAAATTTAATATATTTTAAAAATTTTAATAATTAATAAATATGGAAAGTTCAGCTGAAAGAACTTACTGACATTTTCTGAAAGAAACAAGCACACAATCAGCTGCAAAAGACAATCAGCGATCAGTGAAACCATCTTTGACAAAACAGAAGTGAATGTTCAGACTTTAACATCTGTTTAACTTTTCCTTAAACTTGTCATACATATAACAAATTAAAATGATATCTAGATAAGACCCCAGGGTGGCCAGAAGTCACCACCAACAAAGTGAAACAACTGAATCTTCCCCAAAGTCGTTCTCATATTTTCGATTTCATACCCATTTGTGCTATTGCAAATGTTTTCATGGCTGTGCAGTGAATGAGTGATGAATAAATCTGTTTGAAAAATAAATTTCTTCTGAGTAATTTTTTCCACAATCCCATTCACTGCACAGCTACACAAATGCTCCTAATGGCATCAGTGAAGAAGTTATGCTGGACAGGACAAGCAGCCAAAAGGAGAAATGCTGCTTTAGAGAGTAACGCCACCTTGAAGGTTTTTGCCAAACTACAGCTTTTGACAGCTATTACTAGAAAGTCAAAGTCAATCAAACTGCTGGTCGCCATGATTCTATATACCCTCGCTCCTGGATTGCCCTTTCAGGGCTCACTGGACCACAGCCTGAGTTATATCAGATTGCCAAGTCACCAAAACTCATTGAAACACTTCACCTGAAGTCTCCAATGAGCATCAGAGCTAGCAGAACAACAGAGAGCAGCTTCTCAGGGGGTCTAAGAATGCATTTAGATCTATTATCAATAGATCTCAATTCACTATAAAAAGGTCCACTGAAAACTACTGAAAGTTGCCCCTATGGAAAAACGCTGAAAAACACAGCGCTAGACCATTTCACATGGGCAGCGGACAAACATCTTTTCTCCACAAATGCCTCCCAACCTGATTTTAACTACTTACTGAATGAGGTAATTTTGTTGAGTTACAACATAGGCCCTCTTCCATCCTCCCAGAAAGCACTTACTAAAATTGTATTATGAAACCTCCACAGATACCAAAATGCTGCACTACAGGGTTGAATATAGGCAGATAATATTTTACTCTCATAATTCTTTACATCTTACTTTACGTTTATCCCCAAATGACAAAACGGCATTACTCCCATCAGCACTGCTATCATAATCCATTTATCCTTGTGTGAGGGAGATACACGCACATTTTACATCTACAAGGCCAAAAGCTGAATTACACTTTTGTTAGCTTAACCGTATCAGGCAGTTAACATTCCTAGCCTTCTACCCCACCTGTAGCAGATGACCTGGAACCGCAGCAGGTTTTAGCCCAGCCTATTAATCAAATTTGATGCTGAAAACTGAGGCGCTTCAGATGCTCGTTCAGAAGTGAATCGGACGTCTGCCTCAGAAGCAACAATGCTCACTGGAGGAGCTGGCAGATGGTTTGAGCAGGTTACATCTCAGGCATCTGATTTTAATCCACTGCCACCTGTTTGTCAGGGCCCCCTGTTAGCAGACCAGACTAGTCAAGAGTCCCAGCTCCTCCTAGATGTCATTTCTCTTGGGGAGCAGATGTTCCCCACGGCCTGTACTATTTCCCAGTACCTTCAGAAGTCTTTATAGAGGTACCTGAATTTGAACAGTTGTCACCCTAGTCTGCCTGTATAGCCATTAGCAAGAGAGAGGTGCATGCAGGCCACGATTCACATCTTCGGGATCTCCAGACTTACCTCCTGTTGTACTGGTAGTTAAGGGCAAGCATGCTCACAACTTAGGTACTTCAGGCAGGAAACTGAGGTTATACGGACCGAATTCAGGTCTGTGAGTTTAGACCTATGAACCTACATCAGTGGAAAAGCTTCGAGTGGCTTGTCAGAACAAATCCAATATAATTCCCTTCTACAACAGAGCAAAAAGCCTTTACAGCAAAGCCACAGATATCAAATAATGTGTCCCGACACTTTCTCTTTAGACATTCTTTAGAGTGAGCTAGGAAAACACAGTTCAGCTGAAAAGCGTACTCAGAATAGTTCACTGCCAATCTGAAAAGTTACACTGACTAGCATTTAAAACTAAGGTAATATGTCACATAGCATCCGTCTTAGAGGGCCTACAGGCACAAAGAAGAACTAGATTAGACTTCTACATGATTTCTGCATCTTGTACATATGTGGAGGGGAAACTGTCAACAAGCAGTAGAATATTGTTTGGAATAATCATTTGCACAAATGGAGATAGGATCAACAACCTGGGCACATTTCTTTAATTAAAAAAATTATTTGGGACAATAATATGAGCATGAACTAACTATAAAACAGTGATTTTGTTCTGTTGTGAAAAAGGGTAAATGACACTGTGATGTAAAAATAAGAGTGATAAATACAATGTAATCTTGATGTTAACCTTGAAAAGCTTGCTTACATGCTTAATTGTATTGAAAATAATATATTATTTGTTTAAACACTCGGAGTGAGCGGAAAAAATGAAGCAATGTCAATCTCCTACAGATACCCATGAAGCCAAGCCACACAATTACTAATTCAGCAAAAGTTTGAAAAAACACAGTCAAAAAATTTGAAGCAGCTAATTCTATTCATAATGTAAGCTCAAGAAGCACTCTAAAAGCATATTTCTACACTCACTACGTTTTTAAGAGCATAGGCAATTCACATGCATGGGAGAAAATACGTAGAAAGATGGAAAAGGTGTAGCGCAAGAACTTCCTTTTGTGCAAGAAGCAGTATTGGTCCACACCGAACTGTGAAAACAGCAATCTTACCTATTACAGCTAGTAAGGCACTCTTTTCAGATGGGACCAGATGCATGAAAGATGTTAACTTTTACCTAATCAGCTGCAAACAACAGCATTTTTTCAGTTCCTGGAGCTTTTAACTTCCCCC